AATCAGAATGTTCACAACTTCAATACAGAGACTCATTTTTAACTGCCATAATAGAACAGAAAAAATTATCTTCTGAACCTCTAGAGTTAGAGCTGATATTGTAATTAATATCGATGATAATGTTTATTGGGATACTAATAAGAATTTAACAAAAATATGTAATTCATCATCATCATCATTATCTCAGCCATAGGTCGTCCACTGCTGAACATAGGCCTCCCCCAATGCTTTCCGTTTCCATGTATGATGTCGTCGGTCCACCTTGTAAGTGGACGTCCCACGCTGCCTCTCTTTATTTATACCAATGTCAAGTGGAACTATTGCTTCTCTCTCTGTTGTAGCAGTGTGCTGACTTTCAATTAGCAAAGGCATAATGTACCTGTCTTTCTGTATGTTTGCCTTCGCTTTAGAGTTTGTTGTTATTCGTTTTCGAATTTGTTGTTCCCGGTTCTTCGGGTTGGATGAACCTATTTCTCATTTCAACAGTTACTGCATTTTGTTTTTGTTTTTCGTTTTAATATGGTGGGTATTTAACCGCAATCGCACCTGATGTTCAGTGAATAGAGTCTAAGATGATACATATCTGCCCTGTAACTGCATGTTTACTACTTCAAAGTTATTCATGCAATATCAAAATCCTCGCGGTAAAACTTATTTCCATTAGTCTGTTTAAAGTCCTTGCTTTCGTACAAGTGTTTACAAACATAAATACCCCTGATTCAATATTTCAAAGAGTTTCACTCTTCCTGCTTGCACCCCAGCGAGTTCTCGGGGTTTTTTTCCAGCAATTTCCCAGGAAGCTGTGGTTGTTAAAGTCCTGCGTAGGGTGTCTATGTTTTTGGATGTAAACGATGTGGATTTCATTTAAATTGTTAGTTTTCCATTTCTAACACTACTTGAACACATGAAGGATAGTTTATTAATTTCGGTGAAGTTCAAAATATGGTGGGATAGTGGCATTATATTAGTTTTAGTTTCTAAAATATTATTTTTCACAGTCACTGGCTTTCATGATAATGTTAGTTTTCTATGCCTTTCTAGGCCACTTTTAATTATTCGAAAACATATTACGCCGTTTAAAGCTTTTTTATCAGATTAATAATGAATAAAATAACACAGTTTTTTTCCGAATAAAGTATACTAAAGTGTTATTAACTACTCGATTCCACCAATATCTACCTACCTGGCCACCCTACTTCCCTCCGCTTGCGGTAATGCATTTCGTGCATTTTTCCCTCCCGTCTGGATGACTCGGCGTCCCCCTCCCAGTGAGGTAGGAGGGTAGTATTTACCTCCCTTAACTGGTTCCAAATGACGTTTAAAACTGTCCACCCGACGCTAATTTAATGATGGATCGCTTGAGTGTAAAGTTAAGGTTTCAATTTATGACGTTTTATCAAAGGAACTTACAAATTATTTTCGTTAATTCGAGGAACAGAAACTACACAATGGTAGTCGCAGGCTGTGTCGCAGGAGAGGACGCTAATGAATCTCAAAGGGTTTAATCGTGTCAAAAAAATTCTTGATATTTTGTCCTATCTCTCTAGATAATAGACACCCCTTGGATCGAAATATCTCATCATCATCATTGGATCATTCATACCCGATCCTTTGTTATCTATATGTATAGGCAAATCTTACATTCTCCACGCCAGACGGGATGGGTACACCGCATAGTAAATTTCCTAGTCTTTTCTTTCACAAGAAAAAAATTCTGGAGATTTGAATGCTTTTTCATCCAAACTTGCACTTGTTATTGTCACACTGTTGTGTGAGAGCCATCTGGTGGCGTCCCGGCAGCAAAAGGACGCGTGCGCACGACCGGAAGTGCGGAGGCCGCATCCTCGCGCCGCTTCCGACGCGCGAGCGACGGGCGCGGGAGATTTGATAACAGTTGTGACGAATGCTCTAATGCATTGGTTCCCAAACTTATTTGAGACGCGCCCACTTTCGACCATACAAAAAATTCCGCGCCCGTCAAGATTATTTATTGGTCGTATCGAGCAATCTGGAATGCATTCTCTCAGCGGTCGCAGGTTTCTTACAGATGGCCCGCGCCCCCCTTTAAAGGTCTTTGCGCCCCCCTATTTGGGAACCCATGCTCTAATGAGTATTGGTTACACAATTGTGACGAGAAATGCTGTAGTGCCATTGGTTACAGAATTGGAACGAGAAATGCCCTATTGTTAGTGACTTTTCGAACCCTTCTGGAGCATGAAAAGGTTTTCGGAGCCTCTAAGCTAAATATAGGATTTATCCCCCTTATTAGGGAGTAAAAGTTTAGCTTTTACTGAAACTTGATTCAACATTTTGAACTCCTTGAATTTTTATTTAATTAGGGCTCAAATTAAGCCCTAGCAGTAATTCTTGAAATTAGGAAAGACACTATTTTTCTGCTACTTCAGATATGCGTTCATGGAAGGCCAGCACCTATAATATGTCAAGGTAGGAAAAGGTTGCTTTTTAAACATACCACGTATCACGATATATCGCTTTGGTTTATAACTTGTGCCACGGCCTAGATCCGCGTGCCTTATACAGCTGTTCTAGCATTGAGCTGTCCGCCTGACTGATAGACCGCCATTTGTCCGATAGGGCCGCGGGTTCGCTTCCTATGCCGTGCGGTTATTACGTCTCTATTTGAAGTCACTTTCGTTAAATGTATACATTATGGGTTTTAATGAACTGGTTTTATTCCACGTAACCGTTCTAAGATAGGTACTTTTTATAGTAAAGGTATATTCACAATGCCACGGGGTGTGCGTGAAAAGTGCCTCCTATGTGCATTTGTATGAAACAGACCGGCGCGTTAGACGTGCCTCCACAATCGCATGTTCAGTTAGCGTCAAATTGTTCCTCTCACTCAAAGTTCGCAACACGTCTTTGTCACATTCGGAATATGTAAGGTTGCGTTGTCAATTTTTTGGCCACTTTGGGTGTTTGACAACAATACTTAACCTGTGCATGCAACGTGGCACGCAACATGGTGTAAATGTAACATGTGTCATACATAAGTAAATTACCAAAATCATTCATTAATCATCTAATAAGCTTTTTTATTACACAATACTGTACTAATCACTGTTTTAATCCTTCAAGGCCCGCGAATCTAGACACAATAGATAAAATCAATTGTTATGACATTAATGAATGCCGTCTGGGACTCAAGCGGTTAATCCAAAAATTCGTGTTTTATTAATGAAAAATCTGATTGTAGACTATCACGTGTCATCTCTGCTACTGAGACGGACTGGTCACGCAAGCGAAAGTAAACAATAGTATTACGACCGAAATTAATGCCAAAACCAATAAATCACAGACAACAGATCATTGTCCTACAACTTTTTCATATATGGCTCGAGGACTGTGCAATTAAATTGCAATAATAATTCAATTAGCACTTCAACTGCCCCATTATGTTATTACGGACAGTACCTAACTCAATGCTGTGACAATGCTTATCATCATTTAGCATTGACCTTGGGCGCTATGAATAATCCCGATAGAACAAACGTACATTTACAGGGTTTATTATTAGACGATCCCTGATGTAATAGCACATATTGTTCGCGTACAATGTGACCAATCAAAAGAACATAATTCGTATTGTTTTTGTTCCTTTATGATGACTATGACTAGCATCTAGATCTAGTGAAGGTCGCTGAAGAGTAGGACCGGTCGTTGTAGAAATCCATGGGGGAGCCTTTTGTCCAGCAGTGGACGTCATTTGGCTGAAACGAACTACACTGGTCATCACAAAAATCGGCCCACCTACGTTTTACAGGACGAAGACGAGGAGAACTCGTTTCTACTGACACAATCATGGTGCCCCAACAATATTGGTGTTATTTGAAAGCCCAATAAATATCCTTAAAGAAAAACACATTTAATTTCCTAATAAACGATTAACATATACAATAAATATGACTTGAAAAACTTGAAAAAAGACCTCACTTTGGGCTCACCTCTGGGATCAATTAGACCAATTTTTGTGGTTATAAAACCAAATAATGATGTCACGTGTACTCTTTAACAGATGGATAGCGATTAATACCAACTTAACAGTTTTATAGCCATAAAAGTTGGCTCAAGCGTAACTACCTATTTTTTGAAGAAGTGACTCTGGATTCTTCTACAGACACATTTTTGGGGTAAAAACCTTTCCTTTAATGAAATGAAGTTTAGAACTAGGCTTTTAAATGGTGCCAATATTGGTGGGAAGTGGGGATGCATACGTTTGAAAGTGCTTGTCGCGGGTGGGTCGATTTTTATGATGACCAGTGTAGCATCTAGTACTACTACTGGACGTCTTCGTTCTTTTCAACCTAATGTTGCCCACCTGGAACAAGGACTCAGGATTTCCACAACGAACGGTCCTGCGCAGCCCACATCCAGGTGCTTCCCGCAACCTTCACCAGACCGTCCTCATCGTCATTGAACGTCTAACATTGCATTAACTAGAAAGGTTTATAACGTTACATACTTCCAAACGCTTTATGTATTTTTTATATTCTCTTTTTATGGAACTTAGTCACAGTTGACTATATCACTCCGCCAGTAATTATTACAGTTTAGCTGTGATTTCTTGATAGAATTTCTTTAATTTACCAGATTAAATGGTCCGAATCGGAGCTGCCACTTTTGCAAATACAATCTAACATTAACTTGTAGTTACTTTATTACTATTAATGTTATTCAGACTCGTTACATTGTTCACAGTATTTTCCTGTTTCTACTTAAATATTTCCTCATAGACTACGAAAGCGTTTAATAAATCTTTTATAGGTCTTTTCGCAAAAAAGCACCTGTGACTCAGTTGTTTTCTGACACTGACCCATCCCACTTCACGTTTGAATGCGATACAACAATTTTGTGTTCTCAACTCACCTATTTTTAGCAATTATTTATATCCATTTGTAAGGAATCATGTACGCGGTATAAAAATATATTATGTAGACATTGCCAAGATCGTCACCGCTGATCAAATACCAATTTTGCAGTTCGTGCCAAAAGCTAATGAAAAATGAGCAGTGCAGTGAATCATCACTCAGAAGAGTGAACTAGTGTGGATCCTCGATATTTAATATCGACAAAAGTGAAGTGAAACTCATGCACCCGGATTTCAAAGTGAAGTGAAACCTATGCAACCAGATTTTAAAGTGAAGTGAGACCTATGCAACCGGTCACAAAGTGAAGTGATATAAATGATCGGAATGATGTGGTTCAAGCGTGAACCAAAACCGGTTTCTGAAAAGCCGGTGGAGAATGGAGTGGTGGGGAAACTCCGGAGGAAGAAGGCTGTTCTTCTCAAGCCGACTCGTGAGTCGAGCGAGAGAGAGACTTCTACAGAGAGCGACAAGGAGAGGCGACGGTATTCCGATATACTTGATATGAAAGTGTCACTAGGTAACGTATGATTTGTATTGTTTTCGACATTGGAGTTTCCTTGCCATTTTGAACCAGGTGAAGTAGGTAAGCATTTTGGTTTTTTGATCCCATTTTTAGTGATTTAGGGTACCTACAATAAGTTGACTGTCCTCGTTTAAAATACTAAAGAAGCCTTACTATTTTGATGAGTGTTGTAGTGTAGCGTGTCTTGTTAACATTACCAACGAATTCGGAAGTTTTTTTGTAACCAATTGGATTCACCGAGTATTATCTTCAATTGAAATCGGTTTGCGAAAAAAATAACGGGTCATATTTATTTTCTTAGAGACGTGATGCGGAACGAATCGTAAAATTTTTCAAATTCGTTCCTTCTTGAACGTTTTTTACGATTACACTCAACTCAACTTAATTGTTGAAATAATTGAAGTTGATGGCGGTTTTTGCGTTTTATTGCGGGCGTTATACTGCTTCAATTAGGAAAGAACCACACTGCACTAAATTAAATACATAAGTACTTCATACAGCATATAATATAACTCTTGAACAATATGAGATTAATAATGATGTATTCAATTTTACCAAGCGTAGTTCAAAAGTTGATAAGAGTCTGATCTGTTAATTATTCAGTTCTGATGAATGTCAGTTTAAGATGTTGTTTTAGATAAATGAATAATCAATCATGAATTATTCCTATAGGAAACTGCTTAAAGTTATAATCCTACTTATAAAAAAATAAAGTTATTATTTAATGGATCGATCACGAAGTTTTTACCTGTGTTTTTTTAGCAGAACAATACTTAGCCTTCGTTGGTATGTGGTGTGGTTAAAGCTTTACTTTAAAATGTAGTTTTAAACACTGAAAATGACTCCAAAAGACAATTAAAGTAACTGTTATACGAATAAATCACGGAAGTTATGGCTTGCATTTACATAAAAGGAATTAGCGAATCTTTTTAGGGTCAAAAGTAATTACATTGAAGTTTGTTGATGTATTCGTGCTTCATTTTAATAAGTCGTAAAGGAATTCAGTGAATATTTACTAGCAATGAGTGAAATGTATTTATAAGTAGTTTATGATATTTAAATACATTTTACTTGAAATGTTTTTGAATTCTGATTCCGCAATCCAGTTATTTGTTTTAACAAAATTGTATAATTAGTAAATGTCTTATGTTTACACATTTTATGTTAATTGTTTATGATAGTAGGTATGCTATTTTATGCATGTCCAAACCTAACGCTAAGTTACGTTTGGCCTAATGAGATAACTATCAGAAACAAATCATGTGTTTCCAAAATTATCACTTATAAACAAACAACACATCTAGACTGTGGACTGCAGGCACCGCTCGAGACTGGAGGCTTAAAATAAAGCACATATTGTTCGTTGTTTCCTCACGTCAAAACAAATTGATTTGCGGTGCCCAAACTTTAGCATTCTGCGACCTATTTCATAATAATAACACAAGTTATTAAATCGAATACTTAAAAATTTGCGATATCGTTACTAGAGATGAAACGGATATCCGGTAACTATCCGGTAGGCCGGATATCCGGCCTAAATTTACTATCCGGCCGGATACCGGATAGTAACTCACTATCCGGCCGGATACCGGATATTAAAAAACTACGACAAATTCCTATTAATAAAATGAAATACATTAATCTTTGAGGTAAACATCAATAAAATGGCTTATAATAATAACGGCTTTTATTTAAAGTCTAAGAAGTTACAAAAAAGCCATATTAAGGCCTTTTAAAAATGTAATTAATTTCTTTTTCTGGGCTATTCACTCTAATGACGAATACATAATTTAATAGTAAATATCTGTTAATGTCGAAATATTGCTATTAATAAAATAAGCGTTTTTTTTTTTCACTGATAGTCTGATGCCATGATGCAGTTCAGTCAGATTACGCAGCAAGTAAACTAATTTAATTTTCGCTATTCAATCACACACTCACGATGGCAACCGAAATCGCCCTGACCTGCCCCCTAGACAAGTGGCAAAATCTGACATTCTATTCGGACTGATTCGATTTTCGAAAAGTGTGACTAGTCTAGTCTACTAATAGACCCACTGATCGCGTTCGAAGCACTTGTGCGGCGCTAAACTCGTCACGACATGCAACGAGACAATGGGCCAACTCTGGCCGGATATCCGGTATCCGGTATCCGGCCAAACGACTATCCGTTTCATCTCTAATCGTTACATCCACGAAGACGCGCCCAACCATTTTTCAGCTAATGTTTGAGTGTTATTGGTACACGCTAAATCACCCATGAGTGCAGCACACGCACACTACAATAATGACGCTCGGATTGCTCGAATCAAACTCCCCGCACCCCGCGCTTCCCTCGACCAATTTTTCCCTCGAAAAATTGGTGGGGCGCGTCTTCGTGGATGAAACGATCTATATCTGTACAAAGCTTTTTCAACTGGATTGTTCTCTGGCCCGGGACAGTTCTTTGTTGTACTGTAGTCACTACGGAACAAAATACATCATCCCGCGTAAATTTTTGAAGTGTTTACGTGATGCGGAACACGTTGCTATTGCTAACTCCCATGAGAGCGAGTGCATTCGGTGCGTCCGAACTTTTTTAAGGCGCGTATTTTGATGCAGCTTATATGCGAACTCAGGGATAGATTGTGACAATGAAAGACTGTAACATGTCTTCATCCAATGTTGATTTTAATCATATTACTAGTAAAAGGTACGGATTTAAAATTCAATCGACTTGTTGGGAATAACTGCTTGGGAACCGCTGACCGTGAACCATACTGCAGTTAAAGAACTCATTTTGATTAATCGTTACGTATAAACCCATTGTTTCGATATAGCGTATGATTTACCGCTACGGGTATGTTTACTATGAAATTGTAAAAACCTTCTGTTTTACAGAGTTCCCAGTTAAAAATATAGGTCACGAATATTAGGCTACGCGACTTTGACGTGTGACTCTGTTTTACTCCCTTAGGGGTTGATTTTGCAAAATCCCGTCTTAGTGAGCAACTACGTTCTAAAAGGAACCCCTAATTTGAGACTATAGCACTTGTAGTTTTTGAGATTTGTGATGAGTGAGTCAGTCAGTCAATCAGTGATCTTTCGCTTTTATTTAAATAGATTAAAAAAATTGCATTGTGAGTGCAAAAACAACGTATCTGTGGTTATTTAACTATCAGCCGTTGGTGACAGTGGTGTCGGTCACCGTGGCCTTCAAAGATAAAGCTTTTCACATAACAAAGGCGTGTTAAACATTAGCACTGATAACAACATTGACCATGACTAATTCTGATTTTATTTTTCACAAACTTTTGCCCCCGGCTTTGCTCCAGGGTCTTACACAAGAGAGTAATCGTGCATCCCTCTTAATTCGGTTTGGTTCGTTCGTTCGTTTCAGCCAAATGACGTCCACTGCTGGACAAAGGCCTCCCGCAAGGTTTTTCCAGGCTCTTCCCGCGACCCTTACCAGATCGTCGGTCCATAATTCGGTTTAAAATAAATGAATCCTACTCTTTGTTTTCCATTTAAAACTAATAACAACAAGTAGCACTATTTTATGCGGTTATTTTGTTAGGAAGCGATGTACTAAGGCTGAGTTGCACCACCTAACTTTAACGGTAACTATGACGATAACCGGTGCATTTTGTATGGAGTTTGACAGATTTTTGACGTTGTTCATAGTTAAAGTAAGATGGTGCAACGCAGCCAAAATAAACAATAGGAAATATTCTACTATCTCATCTTCATTGAGGGCACATTTGTATACAAATAAAATACAACATGCTTTCAGTCGTTTCAGGAGTCGTTAAATACCAATACAATACGTGCTGGCTTTTATTCAGCAATGTCGCTCAAATGTCTAGTTTCAAAAATAGAGGACTATTATACATACAGCCTATTTGGCTGTTTTATTACGTATGTATCGTAAAGTTTTGTAAAAATCGATCGAAGTAAAAGACATGCGGGTCAAGGCTCGCATATTCGTGCTTTCTGCACATAACAAATTAATGTCATTTTAGTTACTACTACTCGTAGTTAAGTTATTAACCAATTAATACAAGACAATAACTGTTTACGTGGCGTCTATTTTGTTTATGATACAGTCCGCTTCAATTAGTTCGTACAGGGATGTTATGGACATCTGTAACCGTAACCGTTTCAAAAGTTACGGATAGTTTCGGATGTAGGTAGGTAGTTTAAAATTGTTTTTTTTTTTCTTTGTATAGCATAATTATAAAGACATAATAGCCTGATTGACTTACCTTTACAATGCCATCTAGTATCAATTTTTATTTTTTTATTACTTTTTATTCGAAGTAAAATGTGCGGCCATAAATGAACCGTGTTGGATTTGCAATTTGCATTCTAAAGCACAGCTATCCGTAAACGTAACCGAAACTTTCGGATATCCGAAATAAAAAAAAAACCGAAACCGAAATAATATTATAATTATTCATATATCCGTAACCGTATCCATAACCGAAACTACATATCCATAACATCCCTAGTTCGTAACACCCAAAGTAGCTAAAAAGTCCGCAACACGTCTTTGTTACAATTGGAATAAGGTTGTGTTGTCAAGTTGTCATGTCAACCTTTTGGCCACTTTGGGTGTCACGAATTATTTGACGCTAACTGTACCAATTAAGACTATAGTTTTCCGCGACTTTGTCTACGTACGTTTCTGTACCATATTTAGTCCTAACAAATAAGGTTCTGTTGATGTCTATCAACAACATCTCATTAAATCACCTACGTTTCTATGTTCTTTGTCTTCATATGCAAAGTAATTTAATTATTTTCTTTTATTTATTCTTTCGCTAAAACTACTTTAGTTTGGGATCGAAACTACCCTATAAACTACCCTCAAACTCTGGCATATGGGTTATTTTTAGCTATAATTGTTTCTAGGCGCTTTTGACGATGCTCTTAACTCGTTTTCATAAAGCTGTATACTGGTTCTGTGCTGGTACCCTAAGAATCTAATATTATTTCGAAAAATAAAAACTACGCAGTTAAATTTTTCTCTCCTTCAACTAAATGAAAAGTTTTCTGGCTAAATAACTTTCAACCTTATTCCTATACCATTACGTTGGTATATTTACATTGAATCCACGGTTTTGCATACAAAAGACATGTAAAAAACTTGGATTGGAGCGGTTATTAACCGTCTGGGTGACGTCACAGCACGTAACCGATCGCGTCTCGACTCGGCACATAATTGTTGCATATTTTAATTAAGAGCAGTTTCATATGTAATTAAATAAGTTAGAATAACAGTACATATGTTATTTAATATGTGTAAGCAAATGCAGTAAAACTGTGTGTGTCTCTTTTTAGACACTAACTTTTACGACGACCCCTTTTGGTTTTAATCAATGCAAAGAAAGAAAGCCTAAAAGAGCGGTCACTGACCATAGTCCAGCAGTTCGAAATGAGTTTACAGCTGAAAGTAATTTAAGTTTGCCTCCAAATTTTTTTTCAATCATAGCTTGAACACAATTTCCCTATTTAGGCATATTTAAAAATACTCAAATTAAGCTCGTTCTCAACAAATCGAACCGTTTTCATTGCCGCATGGTCGTATTTTCGTCCCAGTATAACTCGTTTTACCGTCTCCTTCACCCCATCATCCCGTCTCTGTCTGTCGCGCACATCTTTACGCACTACGTCCGCTCGTCGTTTTTTGCGCATTCTGCGGTGACTCACGCGCATTGAATATCTCATTGATTAAACGGTTTTGTTCGGACCTCTGAGGCTGAGGTCTGAGACGGTTTGTATTACGACGCGAATTTTAACGGCTCAATGGTACGTTTTAGGTAGGTAAAGTTATTGTAGATTTTTGGATTTTTAGATTCCAGTTGGAATTTTGATCCGAGAATCCTTCTGATCAAAGGGTTAGTCTCAGGGTGTCAAAGTGTTATAATTTATGATAGACGTACTTACACTAAAATGATAATCAAAATATCTTTCATTTGTGTAACAAACAATCTTCTACTGTTATTTTTTAACTCTAATCGTAGAAAGTCCATATTGTTATATTGTGCTCTGAAAAACAATCTGATAAGTCAAATATTTTGTTGCAAAAGTTCATTCTGAAACGCTACTGATTCTAAAAATTCAACCATGAAAATACTATGCTTTCAAGTTATTTATTTTTATTTCGGCAATAAACAAAAAAAAATGACAAACGATGTGTAAGTAGGTATGGTCTACGTCCATAAAACATAAATCATTATAAAAATAGTAAATTGATAAGTTAATCTTAGTGGGCCATTAAGAAAAGTGATGCTTTAGTTGTTTGTCTGGGAACATTGTCGCCACGCGTACATTGTGGGGTGTATTTATAGTTGACTTATTTTAGTATTGTGCCATACGAGGTTGTTGATACGGTTACATATCGGAAGTACCACGATTGTGAGAACATGGCAGATCTGGTACATTATGTTTAAAAAGTTAATATTTTTTGTTAAAAAACGTAGAAAGTAAAACAAAACTTAGTATAATAATCTTAATCACATAAAATATTAAATTGTCCTGGGAGGCGTATCATAAAAGTCATCAAGTTTAAATTCTCTTACTAGTCTCATCTTATCATGAAGAATAAAAAAATCTATGTAATAAAAGTTCTAAAGCTACTTACTACTGATAAAGCACATTGTTTACATTTTGATTAAATCAAGCTTCTAACAATAACCTCCAGATATTAACAACTGTGCATATTAAACGTCTATTTGTTATTGTTAAGTATGTTTACATTATGCAAGAGTTCACAGCGGTTTACAACCCCAACTTAACTACTAGATAAGATTAAGATTATCTCTTGAGTAACCAGACGAGATGGATCATAAAACGATTCCATGGTGTAAATCCCGAGTATTTGGGCCATCCAGATAACACTGTTGTGAGAGCTCCACTGGTATTACGGGACTATCCCCACTCCTGCAACTCCTGTGTAGCCAGGATCTACAGCTTGACCGCCAATAAAAACCCAACCAGTGAAGGTCAAGTTTGTCTCGAGGGAAAGTAAGGATATTTTTCACAAAATCGCTTGAAAGCACGGACATTTCTTTGTCGCGATAAGATCGTCCATTGGTATTGAAATGTGCTGAAGGTGTAGTGTCACGAGTCAGGAGTTATCCAAACATTCAAATTTTCCCAATGACAATAACAAAATTAAATAAATCAATTTAGGCAATAAATGCAGTCGATGACGTTGTAAACAAAATACGTGAATTGTAAAAGAAATAACTATCGCGGTAGTAGGTATTGCTTATGGGATTCCCAAACGTGTAGGCCTTAAGGTAAATAAATGAGCCATATAATTACGCTGCTTTCGAACTTTTTCGTGGAAACCATTATGTACACTGCATCACGTATATTTTATGTTGTATCATAATAGGACCTATCTATGTACTGTTACAAAATAAATACTACGATACGAAAGTATTCGGGGGTTGCCTAATCTCGTAATTAAAAAACAAATTATTTCCTCTGGTTGAAGGGAGACAAAATTTCACGTTACGCTAACTCAGTTACCAAATAAGGCTAATACAATACATACTAATGAGACTTTCTAGAAGTCCCACCACTTACCCATAAGTCCGACTTCATGGACATTATTTTACAGCGTTTACCAACCTATCGGTAATTTATTCCAAATGTTGTAAATGTTGGGACACAGTCCCATGTAACCGTACTTTCGCCACGCTCGAGTTTGACAAAACAAAACGCGATTTACATAAAATTTCCTCGTGCGCCGGCGCAGCATCTGAAGCTAATCGTCTTCAAATCCACGCTCGTTGCGTAGAAAGTTCGGTCGCACGCCCATTAAACAACCGACAGTCAACTTATTGTATGTTAATACAAATTAAACGTTTTTATAACCGTATTGAGTCATGCTCCCGACATCACCAATCAATCGTCGAAACACTTTTTACAGATCAGGTCATTGTCTTACTTTTTACCTTCATTATGACTAACAGCAATTATTTCATCGTTCAATGGCAAGGAAACTCGATTGTAGTTTAATTGAGTGATTTTAAAACAACAATCGTTTCAACAGAAAGAAGAGATGAAAGTGATGAATCTCTGTACGAGTCAGCAGATTGCCACAGCGACGCAATATCAGCCAGCGATGATGCTCTGCCAAGGCTCGGCAAAACACCAACCCTCAGCAAAGAATCTCTTAAACTAGCAGTTACAGATGAAGAAGTCGACATTACTAGAAATAAGAAAGGACACAGAAAAACCATGTCACTATCAAATCCACTAGAAATAGTAAAAAATTTGGGAGATGAGTGGTTTGAGTCGGCAAAGAAAGATCTTGAAAAATGCTCCGATAAGAAGAAATCAAGGGAAAGCCTTTGGAGTGAAGAAGACAGAGATTCCATTCACGGTTCCAATATGAAATTGGATCAAATAAGAAAGAATAGCAAGAAAGAGGACAAAAGTCAGTCCAATAGCAGAAAGAGCAGTACCACAGATGCTCCTAAAAGGAAAAGCAGCAAAGGTTCCTCTGTCAGTGCCTTGAATCTGTTTAGACGAAAAAAGACACCGACTTCAATGAAACCAGTTGAAGTTCTATCAGAAGATGCCGTAGACAAAGTGTATAGCATCGAAGAGATTCTTCATTCGACGTTATTGTTTTTGGAAGGAGAGAAGCGTCACGCAGCTACTTGTGACATCAAACCTCCACAAGAGACAGACTCTGATGATGAACCTCCTACTCCCAAGATATTGGGAGAGCATAGAAGAAGACTGAGCAGACAGACTTCCAGAGGGAAAAGCAAAGTCAGAGGGAAGAGTCAGTCTGTCAAAGTTAACACGTTGAGAAAATCTCACAGTGGGACGTTGAAGAAAGCTAAAAAGAAGAGCGCCAAGACTCCATCCATTGGCAGGAGCAGACAAGCGAGCATCGTGGAACAGACCCCGGTTCCGAAGAAGAAGAATTCGGACTCGGTGAAACACAGTTCCTGGTTTAGCAGTTCTAGAGGTGAGTTCATGGCTTGTTTACTTAAAGTGGATCCATAACAACTTGACGGCCTTTATAGCTCATTAGGTTTTCCTTGTAATCTGGTCACGTTTTTGATGTTTCAGTAGCGTTCAATACTAGGCTAAGTATTTGCGCTATTGAATTGATTTATGTGACTATAGACGTATTTATCATTTTTGATAAAATTTCTCATAGATATTTTATTGTACCGTATAGAAGTCATACTGATACACAGTCTTTTTTAAATACTTTGCACAACTCCCATACTCGTCTTGTGATATTCCAAACAATTATAGTATTCTCAATAATAGGCTGACCTCATCAGCCTCACATGAATAGCTGTCGCCTCTATGGAATATGCCGGTAACTTATGTGTCACTTAATCATCGATCAACGAACCGTCTGTAACGGATGCGATCGTATCATGCGCACTTTAAATGGGTCTTTAAATCATTTTGTAGTCTCTTATATTCGCTTAGAATTTTAATATATTAATTTTATTATACCTAGTAGTGTAAGTATTTTACAAAACACTGTGTTTTCATGTATATCGTTGATTGATTTTTCTTTCCAATCATTTATAAACCACTGGAATGTAATTTCGGCATGTTTGGTATCTTGACTTTGAGAGTCCTTTCCTTATAGCCATAGCAGACGGCATTTTCCTGTTTTGAATATAGGTACTTTGTTTGTTCGGATCAGGTTTTGCATATTTTATGCTTCCTGATTTCAAGCGGCAGACATACAAAAACGTGAACTCGTGATTCTCTTTCCGTCATACTTATGGCTTTCTCTCTGATATCGTAGTCTTAACTTTTTTAATACACGTGTAAACTAATAAAGCGTAGCATAAAAAATGAAGAAATTAGCTCATTCATTAAATCTAGCCACATAGTCCGAGCCCGAACTGGGTGACACCCATGACTGGCACGCAAAAAGTCGTACCGTCCGTCAGTTTGACGTTTGTCGGTCATGGGGTCAGCCTGCCTCTGTAGATCTATCGGATTTATTACCGATATATTTCTATAAACTTTGTGCCATCAGTTTCAGAGCAATGTACCTAATGCTAATTCGTAGAATTCTGTCGTCTATTATTTTCATAACTTTTAATCTTTCCTGCGGTAATAGTTTTTGGAATCGTGGATGGCTCAGCTAGGGTAAGTAGGGAAATTTTGTACACTTACTACTAAGAAATGTATCACTTTAATCTCTTGTTTACTTTATAGGGTAAACCGTATAGCTATTGCCCACTTAAAGATTTCAAACACATTGAAATGAAAAATTAAAGAAAGTATTTTAATTATCGACCATTTATGACTTTTTTCTTATAACTCAATAAACTGTTAGACAGAATATTAACAGTTTTTAGTTAAAACTTACGTAACTTAGAAAATATTGAAATAAATTTAAAATCCTCCAAAAAGTACAGTCATTGCCCATTACTTACACTAATTGCCCACATCAAAGCACAGTAATTGCCCAGTATCTTAAAACAAAATAATCAATTTGAAAATGACAAAATAGGCTTTAAATAAACAAAACAAAACATTAAATTTAAATTCTAGTAGTACAGACTACAAAATTTCAAAATAAATTGCGTTTGGCCTTATTAACATATTATCAAATATTTCTTGAGCTGATGTTGATGAGTCAGAATCGGTAGAGACAGAATCGTCTAGGTACTTCAAAACATAGATGACGGAAAAATTTGAATTTTATATGTACATTTTATATGTATTTATTTTTTTATCTTCTTTGATATCAGTTCAAGTGGTTGCTCAGAATGTTCAATTAGCTGTTGGTTATTCTTCCCTAAAGTTGTATCTATTTCCTTACAATTAACATTTTCACTAGTAGATTTAACGTAGGATTTTCATTTTTTGTATTTGCTTTTGAATTTTTATCAATGTTTTCAAGCCAAACCATATTTTTCAGCAATTTATCTTGTAGATAAATTGTTGGATACATCTTGTACAGCTTCGATCGCTTTTTGCAAATTTTCTATGCTATATTGAACTTTTGGAGTCTTTGGCATACTGATATTGAAACATTAAAAGCCATTTCAATATTTATGCCTGTAAATTGCAAAACAAGTCTAGCAATGAGCAACTTAAACACTGCTACTGCATGGTGGCAACACTCTAATAATAATTGCCATGGGCAATAACTATACATTAACATATGGCAATAACTGAAATGATGGTGGGCAATAACTAAAAATATACAGATTTACGTGCAGTGATTACCCACTGTTAAAATGACCGTTAGAAATCAAATTTTATCAGTTATTTTCATTGATAATGGAGAAAACACTTATTATTTCATCATGACTATACACCATTAGTTGAATATTAAAAAACTTGCAAAAAAAATTTAACCTCTAAGCAAGTAATTCCTTAGTAAAATTGTTAAAGTCTTTACCTGTTTGAGTAACATTTTCACCCGTCTTGACAAAATCCGCCATAACTGTTTTTTTTAGTGTTTCCTATTGTAAATTTTAAATCTACTGTACATTGATCTCGGAGCCATCTACCTAGTAAATTCAAATCTAACTAGAATGATTCAAAGTCAGCACCTGACAATATTATTCTTAAAGCGGGCAATCACTACCAGTGGGCAATCACTCTCTGGTTTACCCTATATGTAAGTCATTAACATTTGACCTTCCATTGGTCATGTACGCATAAATGCCCATTCCAACCACGCCTGCAACCTTGGGCGTTGATCAAGATCAAACGAATCCTGTTTCAAAACCTGTATCAAAGCTGAATTGTCTTCTCTGACTAGATAAACTATCCGATGCCCCCTACCAAAATAAAAGCAACGGGCGTTCAAATCCGTTACAACCTTCCTCGCCATCAGTATGCGCGAGCGCACCCGCGCAGGAAGCGTATAAATAGTGGCCACCTTCTGAATCACCGCATTGTCTTGGTTCGATTCCCGGCTGTGCTAATTTGGGAATGGTTAATTGAATCGATTGTGACTCTTCACGTGGGTTGTTTTTGTGACCTTTGGATTAAATTGCATCTTAAGTTGCATTACTTTTGTATAGCCTTTTGTTGTTTACTTGAAGCTCTTCTGTTTCGGCGCAGAATGACGTTTTTCTAAGCTAAATGATCTCATCATTGCCACATTATCCTTATTGACTTTGTGATGCTAATAAAGAACTATAGAACACTCATATTTGCATTAGTTCTCAAGATATTGTTTTAAACTTTCATGGTCACTAACATAATAATTATTATTCACTGGATTGCTAACATGTACCTTAATTTCGAGTTTCCGATATTTCGATACTGTTGCAAGTTTGCAGTTCTCAAGAGATTCACAATACATGTCTTAAATAACTTTTTGTCTCGCTACATCGGTTGTTGTTAATTGAAATAATTTAGAGTTCATAGATCTTCTCAGTGAGTAAATGTTACACGACCAGTTAGTTAAATAACAGTTATATTATTATGTACTGCAGTTTTTTATTTTACTTAATAATTTCTTTATGATAAAGTATTGCTCACTTGCGTAATCGGGCTTCCCCAAACTCCGTAGGGCACCATAACACCTCATTGAAACCCAACCCATCATCGTTACGACTATTTTGATTCCACATCATCCTCGCTCACACAAGTGGCTGGCGCACCAACTCCGTACCCAATTGATATGCGGGTTGGCGTCCAATCGAGGAGCGTGACGTAATTTGCGCGTGCGCCTTGTTTTGGGATGCGTTAGATAGCGATGTGAAATCATTGTTTGTTTTTGCAACAATCAAAGTCGTATTTTCTTATATAGGCCTAAATTGTACCACAGCTTCCCGATCCTTTAAGGCTGTGTTGCACCACCTAAGTTTAACCGTTACTGTAACGATAACCGGTGTTTTTGGTATAGAGTTTAACAGACTTTTGTCGTTTGTTTAAAGTAAGATGGTGCAACCTATCCTAGGTATCGAGCCATAGATCAATCTGTCAGGCCAGAAGGGTTATTGGAAAATATAACTGCATGCTTATGGTTCTGATCCAAAAAATGAATTATGATTGTCCAGAGTATGAATTATCCTGATTGCTTCGTTAGTTTTGTCTCAGTTTGTCACAGTTCGTTAGTTATTTGTTTTGGCGGGTGATGGTGACCCCATTTGCATTTTGTTTCATTTACAATAATGGCCTTCGGTGTAGGCCTAATTGTTATTCCTTGGGATACGTCCTTGCAATTGAAATAGGCTTTTGTTACCAAGGATATTCATGATATTTTATATTTGATTTCAAGTTTGCTCGCATCTTATACTTTCAAAGTAATTGAGTCGCCGCGCCGTTAAATACTGCTGAGGCATATCACTCGTATTTGGTAATTTGAGATTATTTTTGTTACTTTATCACGACAATAAATGTCGTGTTGCTCGACTAATACGTATACGCAATTGTATTAATTTACAAAAGCGAGCACGAGAAAGCGAAACCACTGGCAATTAGTTCGGTGTGTTTGATTTAATTGAGTTTTGTTTAACAGCATTTTTTGCAACACATTATTGAATGTTCTGCGGTCTGCTGCCTCTGTATCAATGAAAGGGAATCATGCTCAATGGAGAGAGACGCGCCGATCCAATTATTTTTAAAATTAGGACTTTTAACTTGAGTGTTATGACTAAAGACTTATTTAAACGCTTTGTAATAAAAATGACTTAGAAAATATTTTTGGAGAAGTATAATTTAGATCGGTTAAAGACAAAACTTTATATGAGAGCCAAGAATCATCATTTAAATTGAATAATCCTGTGATAGATTTAACCGGCTATACCGTTACAACTGAAATAGCCACTTGTACGATAGACAAAACATTACAGCACCATTCAAACCAAGGATAGCTCTGACGTCTTCCATCAAGCGTTTCAATGATTCCATTGCATTTATACTCGGCATTATAAATAAACAGAACCGTTCATTCATTCCATATCTTGCTGAGAAGTTTCCATTCACAATTTTCATTCATTCGCTCGGTTTTCGCATGCGATGTTTACTTTACCTTTCGCGTGTTATCGTGCGGAGTTGTAAATATCCTCCTTAATGCTCGACTGTTTTGTGTTTCGGCTGTTGCGTTGGAGGGAGGATCTCGTGTTTTTGCATCAGTGGGTGTAATGGTTTTTGAGATGATGGATTTCGGTGGATTCCTAAACTTTTAGCGATAGTATTCTCTATCTATCTCAATTTATTCGTCAAGATTGTAAATCATTGGTCAACAAGTAAAAGTGAATTTTTCCTTTCACTCTAAGCGATTTTCGTGACAGCTACAATTGTTGTTATTAGTTAATTCACTATTAGGAGCTACAAGTATTTGATGTCATGTTCAAGTCTTAATTGATCTAGATTTTTATCTTCAATAATTTTTTTAAGTTCTCAAATAATTGTAATTAAGATTTAAATTTTTCTTTCAATCTGTCTAAAGACGAGGCTACCACAAAACATTTTAAAATTGTTACTGATTGACACATTGATTACAGTTTACAATTCAAATTTTCAATTAGCATTTGCAGAAATTCGATATTGGACAATGCTCATTCTGTTGTTCTCGCCATGTAAACTCGGGAGATGTTTTTCTAAAATCATCGATTCACATACTATATTGGTTTTAGAAGTATATTTCTTTATGCATCAATTGGTTTTATTTCCGGCGGGGCGAAACTCTAGCTGGACTGATTATTTCCTGTAATTTAGATTGTTCCCTCCCTGCTCTTACCTTGCCTTGTTCTGCATAAAAAATGTTGTCATCTCTTCTCTAATCAGTACTTAAACTATCAGCTTATCGTCTCAAACCCATAATAGTAACAGTCCAGTAGATGCGCTGCCGATAGCGACTCGTCACTCAGTGAGGTCATCTCTAATTATGTGTGAACGGTTGGTTCTACGCGCACGCACACAATCGTCGCTCGTGTGTTGACTTAGGGTGGCCACAACGGCCAATACATTTGCTTATCTTTCTCTGGTCTGGTTTCATACATACTTAACTAAAGTAAGGGTCCGTTCGTCCCATTACAAGGTACTGGTTTAACACCATCTCTATAGAGTCCCTCTACTATACCGCTCCTCTCAGGCATTGATAGAGTCGCATCATTTTCTTAAGGTAGGTACAATAACTGGAACCAGTGCCCATACCATATGAAAATGTATTCCATCGATCGATATAGCTCCGATCATATGGCTCCGAGTCGATAAACTTCAGCGCCACCAGACATATGCCTTGGAGAACACGTTAACTTGTCAATCAATTCAGACGTATGACGGTGGCTTATGAAGTTTCACACCCAGGGATTAGGCAGCCCTTGCCAGACCAGAAGTTTCCGCTCGTGTTAACTTTGACAGTAAGCTGGCTGTTTCACGCCGGCTGCGTTAAACGGCGTGAAATACATTTAAATGCGAATTATGTATAGGTTCGAGGTATTTCCTTTCATCGCGGGCTCGTTCGACGTGTTAACAATTAATTTTTATTATTTTTTAATGTCACAGTTCAGTGTGACAAGGTTGTCGATAAAGTTGTAGTTGATGTCATTTTATTTAGTTTTTCCTTTTTTTATCCTTAGTTGGTTTTAGCAACTCATGATAACGTTCACCTATTAATTCCGTTATTAACATTGTTACGTACCGGTAAGCTGTATTTTACAACAAAAAACTGATGATTTTTTATTAAAGAAGTTTTTTGTTCCTTTCGAATAGCTGCTTAGTCAAGGTGAAGTTGGTTGATAGATATTTTTTTATAAAATAACATTATGTTCAAGTTTTTGATTCTGAGTTACTAACCGGTTCTATAATGTGCGTTCTACTAGATTATTATGACACATAGAGTCTTTTATCTGTACTTATTCTGGGCGCTGAAATAGACATGATTACCTAGCCACTGCGATCTATTATACTAATCTATTGGTGGCTCAACTAAATTTAAATATAACTGACAGGGACAAACTTGGCAACTATTAACCCATCGAAATTAATACATTATAATTATCCAATTTAACGTCAAATTTAGAGACGATATCGGACAGGAAGGAAGCTTCGGTCGTCAGCGGCCGGTCAGTCACTTATCAGGAGCGCTGGAATGTAGTGGTATTATGAAGAACATGAACCGTTAAGATGTTTAGTACAATATGTGGACAGTTTTGACAATTAGTGTTTTGTTGTGGTGGCCATCTAGTTCATGCGATGATTTGTGGTATATCTCCTTCTTTCTTATTTTACCTTTGAAACATACTCGATTTTGCGACAAAGCTCGCTACAACAATGATTACAAGTCACTTTGGGAGGTGTTTTTCTTTGCACAAGCAGAATTTATGAATTTCTTCTTTCTCCAGGTTCGAGTATGTATACAGACGACAGCACATTAAGCTAAATCATCCTAATATTGCAATAATAAGTGCTATTTTGAACGGTTATTGATGTGCTTTCGACTGTACTAATGTATACCCCTCCGTGGTTAAAATGGGTTATTCCATATTACTCTGTGCAATGAATGTTACTCTGTGGTAATGCTTATTACTCTACGAAATGATTTTATTACTCTGTAGTGTTTGTATAGTTTGCAGTTTGCACACAACACACAACTATGGAAATGCATCATTTAAGCGAGCTAGGATAAACTAACTTAGCTTAGTTCTTGGTCTGCATCCTGCATAATGAGGTACCTACTCAATCAGGATAAGTCGATCTTTTTCAAACCACCGCTATCTTCAAGATCAAAGCATTAATGTGTTTTTTCTCTTCCCAGGAGAGTCGAGGAGAGAGGGTTCGGCTGAGGAGCAGACGGCACCCGATGCTGACGTGGACACCAGCGACACAGCCACCAAGGACGTGCCCGACAAGGACAACAAGTGAGTTGGGAATTACTGTCACTGTCAATGTCAATAGTACAGTAGGCATATGATTGGATAGTCAGCATGGAGACACCTGGCAAGGACTACAAGTGACTTGGGATTTACTGTCTCTGTCTGTCACTGTCAATACTCCAGCAGCTCGTTTGACTGAGGATCACATTCTTTCTTAGTAAGTCAACCGTCTCCAAGGAGACGAATGACAAGGATAAGCCTGACTTGCAAGCTTTCAAGAAGAGAGCGTATCTTCACCTTAAAGGCCGGAAACGCACATGTAACGCCCCTGGGACTGCGGGTGTCTATGGGCGACGGTAATCACTACCATCAGGTGAGGTGTGAAAACAAGTGAGCTGGACACAGTAGTAGGCCCCCACCATCACCACACAATGTTGTCTTCCGATGGACGTGATAAAGTGTATTTTCCCGGTCAACAGTCGGTGATGAACTAAAAAATGGGCTACTGCGTGAACACCACAGGCCATGCTATGCTACGACTCTTGAAGTGTGCCAAAAACTGATAACTTTCCGATTACGCGCCGATTTGTAGTTGCAGTCATTCACCATATAAATAGGATTACTACTCTGTACACATTCGCGTAGTGTACTGGAACCTTTTAGGCTGCTGACTGACCAACAAATGGCAATGCCAGATTTTGTATGAAAGGTGGCGTCTTTTCTTTTTCGCGCGGCCATCGACCAAACTTTTTTTTGATTACAAAATAGTGTAATAAACCAAACTTACTATGGCATGTATACCTCTAAACTCAGTCTGAACTGAGTTACGAGCATTAGAAGTTTGATGATTTCACATACAAGCTTTGCTTTTTGCGCGCAAGTTTTGTAATCAAAAAACTAGGTTTGATCGATGGCCGCGCGAAAAAAAAGAAGCCAATTTCCGGCATTGTCTTTTAAACCTTGGTGAGAGTTCTTCAAATTAATCCTTAAAATTCAGCTTCTAATCTTATTAATTTTTAATTATTTTTTTTTATTTACTGAAACATTGAATAGTTGGTATTGGCACACTTTTTGGAACTTGTGAATCAACAAAACTTTTCCTATTACAGTTGGCGAGCGCCACCTGCCGCGCGCGGCGTGAACCGAGCGGAGAGCTGCCGCGAGCGAGACGCGCCGCGCCGCGGCAAGCACCGCAACGCCTCCGACCCGAACCGCCTCACCGCGCACACCAACCAGTGAGTTGCTTTTGTTTAGTACGCAGTTCGCGGCGCTGGTCATAGATGGCGCTAAATGTGACTTCTGCTGTGAACCAACTTTTTAGTGGTAGGTTACTACCTAATGTGTGAGAGGATTTTTTCATTACAATGAGCAGGTGATAATAGCACTTTAAATGCACTTTTTAATTCCTAAAAGAATTATGGAGCACTGTGTTAGGTCTAAATTCCTCGTGCGGATAAATTTAAGCCTTTTCAATTAGGGTTTTCGCGAATGAAAGATCCGCTAGATGACGGGACATGGATGTGGGGTCTGACTGCTGCGTGATTGGTGGATTTTGACATATCTGTCAATGTCATGTCAAAAATAACCAATCATGCAGCATTTGGACCTCGCGTCTACGTATTGCCATCTGGCGGATTTTTCATTCGTGAAAACCCTCATTCAACACTTTCAAGTATCAAGAAAACCATTACTATAAAACTCTTGTTTAAACCTTTATTATTATATTTTTTCTTACATTATACGTTTCTTAGTCTTGAATATTTTTCCATAATAGAGTAAGATTTATATCGCTGTAATAATGAAGTTGTTAACTACATTGTTAGAATGGTAGGTAACTCTGGAAAATTCTGTAAATTGTTCTCTTAATAACTCTTCTTTGTGTTTTTCTGCTGATTGATCATTCTACGACAAGGGCACGTTAAGTTAAACATTACATCTTAATAGGTCGTTTTATAGGTATACTGCTTAATTCAGTGGCTGAGGTATGTGAGAGACACGGAAGAGTGATTTTGTGACGGTCAAACGTCAGCGAGACTTCAGATTAGTATACAGGGTGACCCAGAATGGGCGAATCAAACTGCTAGGGGAGGTAGCTCTACTAATGTACTATCCCTAAAAAAAATGAAAAAAAAAAAGAGGTGGCAAAAGCAATGGCAAACAAACCACAATCAATAGTATTCGGTTGTCGCTGAACACTTGGAAACTGAATACATGACTCCGATAGATACGGAAACAAGGCTTTTACATATATTTTTTGCGATTTTCCTAGAACACCAACAANACTCACCCGCAGTGATGCGGATAAGGAAGGCCAGCATCTATACTAGACAAGCAGCAAAGCAGAAGCAAAGTGCAAGTTAGGCAACGCAACTATTAAAGCATAGACAGTGACCCGCCCCCACTTGTGGTCTAAACTGAATAAATATTTTTGATTTTGATTTTGATTTTTGATTGATTAAAGGAAAACAGTAGGTACATTAAAGATGTTATGCCAATCGCCGCTACTGGAAACTAGTCGAAGCTCAGGCAATCAATGTAGATCCAGTTCCAAAGTAACAGGGAGTCCGTCTATATTTACGACTCCTAAAACCTCATCAAGCAGTCATCAGAACAGGGATGTCGAAGAGGACAAAAAAATCAAAACGCTTCAACTCAGAATAACACACCTCGAATACAAATTGAAGACTGCAGAGAATGAAATAGCTGATCTAAATAACAACATTATTTCGCTCAAACAAAGAATAACTATTCCTAAAAGCTCTACACAGCAAAGGCCTAAAAGTACAGGAGGAGATATTCAGGACTACACAAAGAAAATGTTTATTGTGGGCACACAGCAATGTATCAACCTATCAGCCGCGCTAATACGCTCCAGAGAAAATAATGTCTACGGGAAATATAAAGTGAGAGCAGAATTAAAGCCGTTTGCTTTTAGCACCGAGGTATTACGGGATTGTCAGACATTTAACCTAGCGGAAAAGGATAAGCTTGTAATTAGTATCGGTGAAAACGATTATAGTCAACATATAGTTCTATCACAGATTCGTTCCTTATGTAAAACATTTGCCAACAACAATATTATTGTTCTCAATGTTTTTAAAAATAAATACCTGAATGTGTACGATTTAACCCTTAAATGGTTTCTGTCCGTTATAAAGGACATGTCAAACAATTGCCTACAGAATCTAAATTAAAGCAATTTATCGACTTTCAAGGGATATTTTATAAAAAGCATGATATTTTATGTGAAACATGGGGCAGTAGTTCCATAAAAAACCGCGAATTTTAAAATATAAGACAGTTGAATAANGGACTCCGCGCACCCCGCGCACCGCGCGCGGTAGTGTTTAGAGAGGCTCCGTTATAAAGATATCTGCTTTCATAGTAAAAGTACGATTTTTAGAGATTTTTTTACATCTACATCAAGATAAACGTTTATTAAATCGAACTGTGCTATAATTTTTCAATAACCAAAGGACCTGTGAAGTGTATAAACAGAAAACTAAACCAAAACATCGTTGTGACAGTGAATATTTAAAACAGTGTACGTAGTGAGTGTCGGCGATCAGCTGTGACTCAGCTGACTAACAAGTGCAAACGACTTTTGCCGATCTTGCACGACACCTCGCTTCGACAACGTCATAGCAGAAACACTATTCAAAATTTGACCACTCTAGCTAAGAGCTGGCTGGTGTTGCGGTTAAGGGATCGCTGTATACGCAGGAAGGCCCCAGTTCGAATCCAAGATACATTTTATTTTTTGTTTTTCTATTTTTATTTTTTTTTGCTTTTGTTTTTTTACAATGTCAACAAAAGCACCCGATAGTAAAAATGCTACTAACAGCAATGGACGAAAAACAACGAAATGTTTTAAATGCAAAGCCATGGTTGACGTAAAAAGCACAGTATTATGCTCTTCATGTAAAAATCGGTATGAGTTTGACTGTGTAGGTCTATCGGAAAAACTCTATCGTTTAATGGAGCCAAACACAAGGAAGAACTGGAAGTGTAAAGAATGCAAATCCAAAGCGTCTAGCAAACAAGAGGAGACCTCCAACGTCATGACTCGAAAAAAATGCCTGGCCTCCAAGTTGGCGGAACCGAAGGACAACGTGATACTGCCGGCTACAACAATACAAACGATAACCAACACACCAAGCGAGCCCTCTAGTCCTGCGCACCGTTCCTCTACCAACAGTGAGCTGAACGACTCCCATGTTCTCACAGAAATTGACACTTCAGTAGAGATGTCTCGGATGACAGACCACCTCTCTAGAAGTCTGGATTTAACACTAACTGATTCGGTCACAGTTCATGAAATGAAAGAAATGATAACTCAGCTAAAGACAGAACTCGAATATACGCAAAATGAACTTGACAGCACAATATTGAGAAACATTGAACTTGATAGACATATAGAAAAATTATTAAAGGAAAACAGTACATTAAAGATGTTATGCCAATCGCCGCTACTGGAAACTAGTCGAAGCTCAGGCAATCAATGTAGATCCAATTCCAAAGTAACAGGGAGTCCGTCTATATTTACGACTCCTAAAACCTCATCAAGCAGTCATCATAACAGGGATGGCGAAGAGGACAAAAAAATCAAAACGCTTCAACTCAGAATAACACACCTCGAATACAAATTGAAGACTGCAGAGAATGAAATAGCTGATCTAAATAACAACATTATTTCGCTCAAACAAAGAATAACTATTCCTAAAAGCTCTACACAGCAAAGGCCTAAAAGTACAGGAGGAGATATTCAGGACTACACAAAGAAAATTTTTATTGTGGGCACACAGCAATGTATCAACCTATCAGCCGCGCTAATACGCTCCAGAGAAAATAATGTCTACGGGAAATATAAAGTGAGAGCAGAATTAAAGCCGTTTGCTTTTAGCACCGATGTATTACGAGATTATCAGACATTTAAGCTAGCGGAAAAGGATAAGCTTGTAATTAGTATCGGTGAAAACGATTATAGTCCACATATAGTTCTATCACAGATTCGTTCCTTATGTAAAACATTTGCCAACAACAATATTATTGTTCTCAATGTTTTTAAAAATAAATACCTGAATGTGTACGATTTAAACAAAAATATTGAAAATACATGTAAAGAATACAAAAACTGCCACTTTGTTTACTGCGATTATAATAATTTGTATAACATATGTAATTCCATCAACCACGTAATTAATTGTATTGACTATCATGAAGAATACTTAGACCCTAAAATACTCAAGAATTTGATATTCCGTAATAAACCAAGTCTGGAGAAAAAAATACGTAAAGGTACAATTCCATATTATTTTACGCGGAAACAACCTCTGAATGATAATGTGGGGCGGGTTTCCTCAGGCAACTCTGATGATAATAATATAGTGTCACAATATAAAAAAGGAACTATACCCCATTATTTTCCCAAATTAACAAAGAACACTTTTTTTCGATCCTAAACCTTTAAGTTTTAAAATAATGCATCAGAATATTGCCAGTGTTCTTTCCAAACAATCTTTGCTAGAGTTAACGTTAGAAAACTTACGAGAGGAAGATTGCATTCCCAATATCTTATGTCTAACCGAAACTTTCCTAAAAGCTGGGTATGACAATTATATAAAAGTAAAAGATTACAATATAGCGGCTTCCTTTTGTAGGGATAAAAAACGAGGCGGAACATGCATTTTAATAAAGAATAACATTGACTTTAGAGAACTAACTTACCTCCATAAATATGCAACTCAGAAATTATTTGAAATTTGTGGTATTGAGATTCCTGTCTATAATATGGTCATTATCTGCTTATACAGAACTCCTACATCTGACCCTAATATATTTTTGGACAAATTAAACCTTACTCTACATGACATAACAAGAAAATATAAGACTAGTACTAAAATCGTTATAGCAGGTGACATTAATATAAATACTTTCAAAATAGGTAAAATCACGTCTCATTTACAGGATCTATGCAATGGATACAACTTAAAAATCCATATTAACGTCCCCACGCGAAAGGACTCTTGCATCGACCATATTCTTAGTAATATTAAAAATGCGGAAGCAACTGTGTTACCTTTGGGTTTGTCAGACCATGAGACTGCACAACTCTTAAGCTTCCCAGTAAGCCAGAAAGAGTTAAAACCTGATTCTTATTTTACATTTAGGAAAGATTACTCTTACTTAAATATCAAAAAATTTAAAGAATGCCTGAACAGACTATCATGGTCTGAGATCTATGCGGAAACTAATGTTAACATAGCTTTCAATAAGTTTCAGGAAACATTCGCCATGTTCTATAGTCTTTGCTTTCCAAACATACGAATTAGGAAACAGGTCACATATAGAAACAACCATAAATGGATGAGCAAAGGGCTAAAAAAATGCTGTACAAATAAAAGAGCTCTTCGATTTCGTTATTATAAAAATAAATCAACAGCAAATAGAACAAAATACCTTACATACTCTAAAATCTTAAAAAAATGTATATATAGATCGAAAAAAATATGTAACATACAGTATATAAATAAAAGTGACAACAAGTGTAGAGCTACTTGGACGGTTATAAAAAACGAAATTGATAACAAAAACCTTAATGACATTTCCTCAATAAATTCCAATGGCATTATTATTAAAAACCCAAGTGACATAGCTAATGTATTTAATGACCATTTCATTGACATATCCAATAAACCTTTGCCAATTAATATGCAGCATCAATTTAAAAAGAGACATGGTATATCAAATTCAATTTTCCTTAAACCAATGACACATTATGACATTAAAAAAGAAATACTGACATTAAAAAATACAAATTCAGAAGGATATGACGGGATCAGTACAAAAATAATTAAATCCAGTATGAATGAATTAGCAGACATCTTGACTCATCTGGTAAATATATCTTTTAAATCAGGAATTTTCCCAGAAGCACTTAAGGTGTCGGTGGTAAAGCCACTTTACAAAAAAGGTCATAAAGACGATGTTAACAATTATCGTCCTATTACACTTATTACGATATTTTCCAAAATATTTGAAAAGTGCATGTATAGAAGGCTTCTAGATTTTTGTACTAAATTTGAGATCATAACAAATGATCAATTCGGTTTCCAAAAAGAGAAATCTACGACATTAGCTTCTTTTTCACTCTTGGATTCTATACTAGATAATATTAACAAAAANATGGACATTTTTTTATTTCGGATATCCGATAGTTTCGGTTACGGTAACGGATATCCATAACATCCCTGCTTGGTAAGATGGCCCTCTCCGTCCCGCTCATACCTTTTAAAATATCTTCTCCACCTCACTTAAGCCAGAAACTTGCATTTTGGGCACATTAGAATAATATTTTTAACCAAGGTAGATAAAGTTAAAAACGGGATTATTTCCAATAAACAAAAATTGTCGACAAAAAATTTGGAAAAAGTGAAGATTTGTGGCAACACGAGCAAAAGGACCGTCACCTGGAGTAGAATTTTTAGATTTTTTTTAAATGCCTATTATTTTTAAAATATGCCACATAGAATTTTTTTTATATTTTTCTGATAACCAGCACAACTTGCCTCAACACCCAGTTCCGGCTTGACGTTACATTACGGGACACCCTGTATAGGATTATTTATTAATGTGAAACCTGGTTTTTAAAAGCCCAACTCTGTCTAGATGGGAGAGCTCAGGATTTCCACAATGACCAATCTTATCTTATTATCTGTTTTAAGCGGTCTATACTGTTCGCGAGACAGAATAGTGGAAGGGAACGATACTGACGAGCAAACAAAATATACGGTAGTATGATGGGATGAGATTGTGTTTTCGTTTGATGAGGGAATTATTGTGTCAAGGAGTCGAAGACAATCTTCTTCTTTGCTGTATAACCTCTTCTGTAAGACAAAAGACTCATGCAAGAATATAAAGTAATTGATTGATAAAGTTTCCACAATACTTAAAACTGGTTATAATGGTGTATTTATTTCGAGTCAATGACACATGCCTTTTTATTTATTTAGAAGTCCTTAAAGCCTAAAGTCACGACGTAGAATTACAAAGACAGACGAGTAAATTAGGAACTCTAACGCCCGTATTCACAAACATTACTATGAGGTCTCACAGTGCGCGTGGACGTACAGGGTGACACACGAACCAATCACAGAGCTCTATTGAACGCTGTGCGTTCGATTTGGTGCTTCACATAAGCAAGCATCCTTTGTGAATACGGGCGAGAATCACAAAGACAGACGAGTCAATTAGACACTGTTATGATCATCCGAAGGCAGATTTTTTATTGATTTACTTAACAGGTAATAATTTGAGTATTCTTACGCCTTACATAACATATTTAATCATTAAGTCTGCCATAAAAACGTACGTCATAAGGTCGTGTCACGGTGATTACCCAAGACTCGAACTATAGACTACAGTTATTTATATTTATTTTGCTTCGAAGCCTTGAAAACTTGTTTTGAGATGTTCATTTAGTATTGATTCTACCTGCGAATACTTAGCACGTATAGTTAATGTGTTGTGAATAAGCGGAACTGAGTGAAATCTTAGTGTAGTCATGAGAACTGTGGTGGTTCTGTGTGTGATAATAGGTATTCGAATTTTTGTAACTTAATGGAGCTTATTGTCAGTGCTAGTTAAAAAAATGATGAGTGTGTTATGTCACTTTTTAATTGCAATTATTTATTTTGCTTAGACAAAATGTTAAATTTTTGTAGCTGTCACTGCTACAGGTGCCGATACCGCAATCTAGGGTGGATTTGACCAAACAAGAGTAAATATTAATTAAGTCATTTTGACATAATTTCCCATACTGAAACTGTCAATGTGCCAGTTATACCAGGAGTTATTCTCGGATAAAAGTTTGGTCGAATCGGGCCTTACTGGAAATTTTTTTAAGTGATTTAATTTGTTTTTATAGTGTCAACCAGTTGTTTCACTACGGACGATGTAGAGTCACTTCGAAGAGAGAAAAGAGTAAGTAGAAAATGATGTAAAGATATTATGTGTGACCATTTAGAGTTTTCGATAGTATAGACACATTTTTATAGCGGTTCCTACAATCTGCCACCAAGGTCGTGAAATAACTTGTACCTACTTACAACCTACATGTAAGAAGAACATAATAAGTATGTTAATATAATATAAACGTAATCCAGTTACAATGGGAATGCCAAATACGAAAATTTTATTACACCGGCGCTCAAAAACGGATTCCCTGGCAGTATTTCCTTCCTTCTTCTATTTATTTTCCCAAATTTAAACAGAAATCTTAAGTTTTATTTGGAAAGAGGCCAGATTTGAAATTTAAAAACGGTAATCTTTATTCAATTTATTGTAGTAAGGGCGATTCATTTGATAGGATTATATTTTCAATGATAAAATTAATATCCCTTAATTATGATGATTTAATTAAACAGTTTTTCTCCTTGAGTATCGTAACTAGTAAATCCAAGAGGTAAAATCCCTAGTCACCGTTGTTGAACTGTGACGTAATTTATGACGTGTGCAAGGGACATTCCTTTGTAAAATACAGTTTCACTCGTACAATTTTATACTCTTACTCATTAAAAGTACTATTTAATTGGCTTTTAAATACTTTGTAATTTTTCGTTAAATGTTTTTTCATGAAGTTGAAATTATTCAACTGCCCGACTGCGCCAGAAGGAGGGTTATTCATAAGGCAGGATTACTTTCGTTGTGCATGGATTATATTATGTAACTTAAAAATATTATTTTATTTTATACTTGTTTTTAGCAAGAGGCAAGCTGGAATTGGGGCTCTGGCGGCGATGAAACACCATCGATTGTAAGTGACTTAATAATATCAATAATGTTCTAAGTAAAAATACGCATTTGAAAAACTTGTTGGGTTAGTAGTAGTTTCGCACGATTTTCCTTCGCACGAATGTGCGAAACGTCCCCTTTCAATAATATTTTTTTTTAGTAGGCGTTTCGCCCGGATGTATTAAAAGTATTAAAATCGCGTGCGAATCGACTCTTTTTTGAACTAGTAGTATGCGATTACTAGACGTAATTTCCAGGGTTACCCACAAGGTGGACCGACGACCGCATAAAGGTAGCGGGAAGGCGCTGGCGCGCCGCCACCAACCGGCCAATGAGGGAGGCCTATGTTCAGCAGTGGATGGCTGAAATTATGATGATTATGAAGACCTTTTTTCCTTTATTTTATTACTTATTTCTATTTCAGAGGAATTCAGAAAGTCAGAAACTAGTAGCAACTGAGCCAACAACTACAACTGAGGAGCCAAACCCATGCCTGAATAGGTACAAGCCTGAAGTGAAGGACTTTAATAGACCAGGTCGAAGGCTCAGCGAAGTGAGTTAGTACCTTTTTACCCTTGTCTAGGTATCTGCCTCTCTTTTTATTCTATTATTCTCATTCTTAAAGCCATAAATGGTACTTAAGGCCGCTTTCACATTAGGGCGTGAGAAGCGCGACAGCAGCGTGCATTGGCATCATTCTGCTATCACATAGTATAAAATTATCACAGACAAAAATAGAGCCTTTATAGCCCAAAAGAGATGCATCAGAGCAATCTGTGGAATTCCGCCTAGGGAATCATGTAGACCATTGTTTAAAGATCTTGGTTTATTACCTTTACCTTCACTATATATTTTGGAAATCTGTAACTTTGTACATAAAAACAAAGAATTGTTCAAAAAAGCGAATGACATACAAAACTCTAGACAGCGCAGAAACCCGCATAAATTGGTGTTAAAAGTTATTCCAAAATCTGACAAATACGGTAAAAGTTGCCTGGCTATGTGTGTAAGAGTGTTCAACAAGTTACCGAATGAATTTAAAGATTTGAAGTCTGGACCGTTTAAAAAGAAATTGTATGATTGGCTCCATAACAAAATTTTTTACAGTATTATTAAAGAATATTTTAATCATAATTTGACATAGATAGAATTTGACATAAATACTTGTTTGACAATGAATGTAATAGAATAATCTCTCTTTAATGTGATTTGGTATAAAATATTTTATTGAAATGACATTTTATGAAAATGATTTGCATGCTATTTTTAAAAGGCTAAACATGAGCACATTGTAAAAACCAACATCCTTAAATACCATGTTTGAAGCAAATAAAGACATTCTTATTCTTATTCTTATTCTTATCGGCAGCGCGTCTGTTACGCGTTTGCCGCGCTGCTCTGTCGCCTCAAAGTGAACGCGCTCTAAGCAACTACACTACCATTTCTGCATCATTTGAAATTAAAATACTGTTATTAAATTAATGTTAAAATTAATGAGCTTGTAATTTTTTTTTTCAGAATGCTATGAACATATCTACGACATTAAAGTTCGCGAGGAGACAAGAAAGAGTAGTGACGCATGTAAGTGCATTATTTAGAATTCATACAGCTATACAAAGTGTTATTATATTATTGTTGTATTGAGTAAGGCGTACGATAGGTCAATAAAAATAAAATTCCGTAAAGGACTCAGTATTATCTCATCAGTTAGGATCATGAATGACACTTTAAGTATGACTTTCTGATCTTCTCATCTCTGACACTTTCAGGTTTGGCCTACGAAATTAAACACCCCGGGCCATACGGACCTTACTATGCCATTGGAGGTGTAAGTGCGAAACCTGGAGAATTCCCTCACATGGTAAGAACTGCAATAGTTTTCAGGGTTCTGTATCAGAAGAGTCAAATTGAAATTCTTAACTAGTGCGAAAGCCCTCTTGATATTTAAGACACCTCCTAAATATAATAATATCTTGCCCTACTACCACTTTGGGGCAACATATCGACTGATGACAATGCCTAGGCTGTCCTCATGAAAAGTTATGAAGTAAGGGATATCCAGAAGTGGACTGCCATAACTTGAGCTATTTTAGGTTCCCGATACATTTAACTCCCATAAAATAACAGTGGTGAAAGCATTTTTAACACGCTTTTATTAGGTCGCTTTTATTAGGTCGTCGTGTATGTAACTATGTAATGGAATCTAAGAATCTGAATTACCCGCACTTCTAATCTTCATGAAACTTGGCAATTATATTATGTAGATTAAGGTGATAATACAATATTATGGTACCATCGAGCTGGTCTGATGATGGGACTGGAAGGTGGCCATAGGAAGGAACTCCTTAACGAAACGGTGGAAACTCATCGAGTTTGGGTTAGTTAAAAGCGTGTTTTTAGTTTTTTAAACTATAAATTTATTTTTATTTATTTGGACAAACAACAAAACGAAGACGTAAACCAGGAAATAACTGATGAGAATTGGATATACACAAGAGCTTTCCCGGCATTTGTAAACTTTACAACTTATTTTCTACCAGGGCGCCATAGGCTGGAAGGCGGCTGTAGGCACGTGGATCTTCAAATGTGGAGGCTCGCTCATCAGCGACAAATTCGTGCTGACTGCTGCGCACTGCACGAAGGCATCCGAGCGAGACACGAGTGTTGCCGATGTCGTGCCCAAGATCGTCAGATTGGGATCTAATAATATTGCTGATGATGTAAGTAATGTCATTAAGAATAGAATAACTTTACTGTGGTAAATGTGGTACATACCTGGTAATACAGGGCACATGATGGGGCACTCCAGCGTAGCCCTCTTATTGCGGACTAAAGGAATGTGTGGTAGTCACCGTAGCCGAAAGCAGCTTGGGAGTATTATTATACCTAGTTATAATTCAAGGATTTTCAGTTTTCCACATTCAATTAAAAGTTCCTGAACTTCCCGTGGATATGACGTAAAAGGCGAAAAAGGAATAACAGGCCTCCCCAACCAGAAACAGTAAGGCTAGGTTGCATCATCTTACTTTACTTTGACAAACATCAAAAATCTGTCAAATTCCATACAAAAAACACCGGTTACCTTTAAAGTTACAGTCAAAGTTAGGTGGTGCAACTCAGCCTTAGAAACAGAATTTAACGCTGGCCATAGCCAGCTCCTTATTTCTGATTCGATCACGCAGGGAACTCCAAGCATAGTATGCTTCATCGCCGTTTGGGTGAGCTTGAGTCTGCTGATGAGGTCCTTCTAGTAACCGACTACGTCTCAGATCCGTATGTTATCACTGGCAAGGCAACACACACTGGTCAAAGACTTGTCTTGAGTGTAGATTTATCTTGGTTATTTTATAAGTAAATGTATTACATTTCAGTATCTCAACGACACGTTACCAACCCAGGCGAACATCAAACGTATAATAGAGCATCCGAACTACAAAGCCCCAATGAAGTATTACGACATAGCTCTGATGGAGTTGCAGAATCCAGTGCAATTCGACAACTACGTACAACCTGCTTGTCTCTGGAGTGGTGAGAGCAGTCCTTTGATCGGGCAGAAGGCGACATTGACCGGATGGGGTGTTGTTGAAACAGGTATGTAAGATACAGGTGTGTAAGATACAGGTATTGTAAGATACAGGTATGTAAGATACAGGTGTGTAAGTTACAGGTGTGTAAGGTAAGTTTAAATGTAATATTGTAGAGTCGGTGCCTATTTACTATAGCAATATTGCACATAATTATACACATAGGTACATGGATACTACGGAATAAGGTGAAGCAAGAGGCACTTACAGGGCAGATATGTACCATCCTAGACTGCATCCCACTTAAAACCAGGTACGATTGTGGTCAAATACCTGCCTTGTTATGCATAAATAAATAAAAAAAGTTAAGTTACCTTAAAAGTGGAATCCACGTGGTAAAACCGCGGGCAAAAGCTAGTCAATGAGTTACTAATAGGTTATTAACAATATTCGTTAGTTTCCAATGATGATAAAAACGAAGATGCGTTGAGTACAGATAAATAATAATTTATCTACCTAATACTGAGTTCATTTTCCTTGTTAATCTGCATTAAATTAAAATAAAGGTAGTTAGTTCAGATATGGATTTTTTCCTTGTCATACTTGTCGGGTTTTGCTATTACTTTTTTATTGGGGTTACTAATCTATACTTAATATTATAAAGCTGAAGAGTTTGTTTGTTTGTTTGTTTACTTGAATGAACTAATCTCAAGAACTACCGGTCCGATTTGAAAAAAATATTTTAGTGTTAGATAGCCCATTTATCGAGGAAGGCTATAGGCTATATACCATCACGCTACGAGTAACAGGTTCAGAGCAAAAATGATTTTAACGCGCACAAAGTCGCGGGCACTGCTAGTATTATTAATAATAATATGTCCTAATTGTTGGAAACTCGTCCGGTTAGTGCTGTATATTGAGGAAAAGATAGTTCAAAACTGGTAAAAAAAGAAGAGAATTACCTTGCCTCCTCTTCTTTCCACTAGCAAGTTAAAAGGGCCATGTTCCTGCAGTGGAGACTAAAGGTTCGGCCAAACCAACGCGTGCAGCTGACGTCATTGGTCTGAACGTTATTATATATATACCTGATGATGATCTGCCTAAAATATCGAATTATTTTCCAGTCAGCAGAACAACGGCTCCAGACCTTCAAGCGGCGGTGGTGGATGTCTTCGAATCGGACTTGTGTGATAAACTGCTGAAGCCTTCCTGCAACCGGCACTGGTGCGGGATGCAGGATCACCAGCTCTGCGCCGGGAAACTGGCGGGCGGTGTTGATGCTTGCCAGGTAAAGAGTCTTTTCTACACTAGAAACTTAGAGTGGGTCCAGTTGATGGAAGAAAAAATATTTAAAAATACAATCTAGAGACTTGGCCCGTGTTCGTTCGTTTGTTTCAGCCGAAAGACGTCCACTGCTGGACAAAGGCTTCCTCCAAGGATTTCCACAAAGACCGATCCTGTGCCGCTCGTATCCAGGCACCTCCCGTGACCTTCACCAGATCGTCGGTCCAGCTAGTGGGAGGCCTGCCCACGCTACGTCTTCCGGCCCGTGATCGCCACTCAAGAACCTTCCTGCTCCAGCGGCCATCCGCTCTACGAGCTATGTGCCCCTCCCACTGCCACTTGATTTTAGCGATTCTGCGGGCTATATCAGTCACACTACACTAGAATCTTAGAGTGGGCCCTGTTGCTGGAAGAAAAAATATAGAAATTCAATCCAGCGACTTGGCCCGTGGACCAAGCTAAAAGTGGGCCAAGACGCTAAAAGACTCACTTTACAAGTAATAAACATGTTATGATTCAAAATAAGCACTACTTTTGAGAATACAAAACAACATTTTTTATGCAAAATTTCTTTTCCAGGGCGACTCAGGAGGACCTCTTCAGATAAAGATCCCACTACCCCCCACCACCAACGGACGGATGTACTACATAGTGGGTGTGACGTCATTCGGCATCGGCTGCGCGCTGCCCAATCTACCAGGCATCTACACCCGCGTGTCCAGCTTCATCGACTGGGTCGAAGATATTGTTTGGAAATAAATTATTATAAGATGCATTGCATTTTATTTTGGTTTTTATGTATGTACTTTGGTAAAAGAAAAATCAAGTTGTGACGTGCCTTGATTTTTGGACGTCAATACCTAAATAACCGTTTGAGGTATATGAAATTTGAAGCTAATTTACCTATGTGCCTAATTTAATTGACGTCGTGATAATGTAAAAGTGATGAGGGGTCAAAAGTGGTTCATCTAAATATACCTACACACGGTGCAGCATGTCTAGAATGTTTGCCCAGAATTTTTACAATGTTACAGACCTTCTAGAGTAGATGTCTCGAAAACTATACAAGATATAGAAAAACTTGACTAAGTCATCTGTAGAAAATTTAATCACCTTTTTTTGGTTAATAGTGGTCATGTCTCTAGGTCACATAGTCTGCGAGATTTTTTTTTATCCACAACGAGGAAGCTCTTGGCCTGTATCTCACCTGATGGTAAGTGACGATCAGGCCGAAGGTGGAAGCGAGCTTCACCCGGAATCCTCAACCACGGAGGAACTGGCTATCTTGCCTCTTAGCTGCCGGAACACAATAATGCTGTTAACATTGTTGTTATGGCGACAGACTTAGGTTGCGACAGAATTAAGCAAAAAACCGTAAAATGGGACCTTTGAGCCTCCTTTTCAACCCGGCTCAAGGGCTAAGGGCGGATACTTTTTATATGTTCACCCACCTCCTAACCAGTCTAAATAAAATCAAGAAGTCCCGAAGATGATTCCCTCTACACCGTGAAAGCATTCGTTAACTGGACTACAAGGACGCTGTGTCACCACCAGTGTCACGGTGATTACCCGAGGACAAGACTCGAACTGTAGAATACAGTTAGGTATTTATGTTTATTGTGCTTCGACGCCTCGAAACTTGTTTTCGACATGTTCATTTAGTATGTATTAACTTTACCAGTGAATAGCACGTACCTGCAGTTTGAGTATTTTAAATAAGCAGATCCGTGTGAACTCTTAGTGTAGTCATGAGAAGTGTAGTGATTCTGTTTGTGTTATTAGGTATTGTGGATTTTTACCAGTTAATTACATACTTTATGTGGCTTTTTAAGTGAAAGAACAACTTGACAATGCAGAATAACATAATGAGTGTTGTGTTGCTTTTTTAATTTCGATTAAAGGGTAGTTGAACGGGAAGCATGGTCGATCTGTTTTAATGGTTTCAATTTATTATTTAATGGACTTTAGTGTACAAATTAGGTGTTATTTTGTGTTCTAAAGTGCAGTGAAGTGATAAATTATTAAAAACATTGAAATACTTCGAATTTGAGCGCGCATCGAGTGTCGAGTGGGTTGTCGTATGAACAACCCGCTTTGGACCCGGTGGCGTCTTGAAACCTACTTACTTAACTCCACGGAATCCATGAAAAATCAATAGAACTGAAACACCCACGTTCTATTGATAACTATGTCAATTTTCACTCGACATTGGCAGAAATAAACCTCCCAGAGAGGTTTGTTTGCCATTAAAAAAAAAAAAAACTTTCGTATAGTACCTACGGGTAGTTACTTTTTTGTTGCACTATGGCACTTATTAGAATTAGGTACCCACTTAAGGTAAGGTAAAATCACAAAACCGCAATTGAGTCGAACATTTATTTTGTTTGTAGTGTCATCCAATTGTTTCACTGCGGACGATGTGGAGACACTTCGAAGAGAGAAAAGAGTAAGTAACAAAATTAGACAAATACTTTTAAATGACTATTTGGACTACCCGTAGACTAAATACTTTTGTCAGCCGATAGTTTAGACGGGCTGTCAATCAGTATGAACATTGATACGTGTTGCCCATTACACTGATTTGATAACGGCCGATTCATATGCAGTAGAAGAACCGATCTGACTATCAGGTGATAAAATGTCTGTAGTCTATAGGGGTTCTTGAGAGCCTCTTGTGAAGTCATCCTACAAATTTTATAAATGCGAAAGTTTGGATGTTTCTATGTTTGTTACTCTTTCACGAAAAAACTACTGAATGGATTTTGATGAAACTTTACAGTATTATTGTTTGTAAATTGTTTACATCAAAATTACATTATTTCTGTCAAATGTTACACAAAGATGAAATGAGACGACAGTTTCCAAACTCAATCCTGAAGCCTGGTTAATATAAGAGTTCCTTTAGGAATGAAAGGTAGCATTAGTTTCCTTTGTATAGATACATATTTTATTATTTGTTCATAGCAAGAGACAGGCTGGAATTGGGGCACTGACGGTGATGAAACACCATTAGATGTAAGTTACTTAATAATAATAATGTTTTATTTTATAAATTAAAACTTGTTTAATGTTGTTTAACGCAGGACCGATCTTTGTGGAAATCCTTGGGGGAGGCCTTTGTCCAGCAGTGGACGTCTTTTGGCTGAAACGACGAAGACGAACGACAACTAATGTTGTTTTGGAATAGGAATTTTTACTGTCGAAATTCCCAGAGGGTTTACCTCAATGATTATGATTACTCGTTGGACCGGTTTTTTGACTTGCAAAAGATCATGGAGGTTAATTTTCCTTCCAGAAATCGAAAATATTGTACGTTGAGTTTGTGAACAAAACATTTTAGAAATTAGTGAAAATAAAAGATTTTTTCCGTAGCGTATAACAATTTTATTTTATTTTATGTTTGTTTCTATTTCAGAGGAATTCTGAAAGTCAGAAACTATCAACTGAGCCAACAACGCCGACGACTACAACTGTAGAGCCAAATCCTTGCCTGAATATGTACAAGCCTGAAGTGAAGGACTTTAACAGGCCAGGTCGAAGGCTCAGCGAAGTGAGTTAGTACCTTTTTACCCTCGTCTGGGCATCTGCCTCTTTCTTTTTCTTATATTATATTCTATTCATGATCAAAGTCTGCCACTATCTATCGTTGTATTGGAAAGCCCTTAAATATGCAGTAGGTACTAAGCTAATTTCAACATCAATATTTTGATGCGTTAGATGCCACGAGCAATAGTATGGATTCGTTAAAGATTTAACGGAGACTAATTTACATTGAAAAAAATTACTTAACCTTTAACCAGTGACATGACTATTTTATAACACTATAAGGGACATGACGTCTCACAGGCTACTACTTCGAAATCAAAAAAATTGACAAAATTGCATGTGGATTACTTTAAAATTGTATTTGTATTTAACTATTGGTATGTCAATAAAACAAATGTAAATGAATTCAATCATTTTTTTTATAATTACATAGAAAAAAACTTTAATTACCAATTAGTGGTAATTTTCAGCCTCAATTGATATGAGGTCCTTTTTTAGCATTTTAATAGACGTTATATAAATTCTATGTCAAATTTAATACTTTTTACTAAAAATCTAATAATACAGAAACCGAAAAAACATAAAAGCCACTTCTGAAAACTGAAAATAAAAATTCTGACACCCGCTCAATTTGGCATAAAATCAATGGCAATTTTTGCAGAAAAGGCGAGAACATTGCAAACATATGGGATTGCAACACCCCAACACAAGTGTACTGTGGCGGCGTAGCATGGCCTGGCACCCAGGGCGACCCCTTCCCCCCCTCCTCTGCCCTCATAAGACCATAAGTTGGATGTTCATATTGCGGGGGGCTAAGGCACCCCAGAATGGTCTGGTGTCCCCCAGAATTTTCGGGTTACCGATTTGAAGCCGAAAGATTTTAGTACTAAGTCATGAGCTATATTATTATGATGAGATGATACCAATCGCCACAGAATTTTCACAACGATGATCCTCCTGCTTCTTCCAGTAATCGAGATCCTCCACTTAATGATCCAGCACCATCCCAAGATCCTTTGCTCGACATTAATCTTGATGATTTCGGACTCCTTGAAATCAGCCCTCATAGTGATGATCTCAACGTTGATTTCGACGTCTTAGAAATTCCCTCTCCACAACCTGATACCTTACCTGTCGAAACACCAGGTCCTGCCGCTCGTCCACCACCATCAGCCAATACCGGTTCTCCCGTCTCGTCACCTTCTCACGCTACCGCACCTGAAACAGAAAATATAAATATTAATGAACATAATGTACAAAACAGTAACTACAGTCAATTTCTTAAAGCAATTGGAGATAAAAATAAATCTTTTGACACAAACATTTTGGAACATAATGAAAGTTTAACTAAAAGTAACTGTTCAATAATACTTATCCCCACTTCATTGGATTTAGATGACTCAAATCCGTATGTGCAAGAAATCTTATCCAAAGTAGATGATCCAAACTCCTATGTTGCAGCTGAAAAAGAACTTTTTAGATATCAAAAAATCCCTTGTAATAATAAAATATATTATTTCATTTTCACAAAAGTACATTACTTTGACGAAGCAACTTACCCCGATATTCACCCCTCATAAGACCATAAGTTGGATGTTCATATTGCGGGGGGCTAAGGCACCCCAGAATAGTCTGGTGTCCCCCAGAATTTTCGGGTTACCGATTTGAAGCCGAAAGATTTTAGTACTAAGTCATGAGCTATATTATTATGATGAGATGATACCAATCGCTTGCACCCCCTTATCATGAAATATCAGATTTGCGACGTCCTTGTCATGCAGATGCACCTGTGGGCACTAATCTTCGCGACTGAGTTGTCACTCCGTTGTCACCCCCTGATGCTTGGCACCCTGGGCGAACCCCCCCCCCCCTTTACTCCGCCACTGTCCGCTGTGTACACTGTCATTTTGTGTAGTTTAGGCAGACAAATACTGCATGCCCTTTGCTTGCCTTGACTTGTTTCAGGATGGAACAGACGGTCCAATCGTTTGAACCTTGACGAGGTTCAAAAGGTTCAAACGATTGACTGACCGTTCGTAATATTTTATTCTTTGATGAATTCGTGGGCTGGAGTTATCATTTCCTAGTCTTTTCTGCCATTTTGCACTTAAAATAAAAAATAGAGTGTAAAAGTTTTTGTATGACAACTAGGGACATGTAGCCTCACAGGCTACGATCGATTTTCTAATTCGTATAACTTACGTGCAAAACAACCGATAACACGTCTGCCTTCTTCTGTGGTCGTTTTAGCACTAAAACAAAAGCTACTAAGACGCTGGGTCGCTGCAAGCGAGGGGAAGTGGTCAATTCTAAGAATTTAAAAAACATGAGACGCCTGTGAGACTACGTGTCACTGGTTAAAGGTTAAGAATATTATAAGTTATAATAATGTTGCCTTTTTCAGAATGCTATGAACACATTTATGACATTAAAGTTCGTGCGGAGACGAAAAAGACTGAGGACGCATGTACGTATTGTTGCCGTTTTTTGTGTTTAAATCATGTAATCTTGGCTCAATCTCAATATGGCTAATATTTATGGCTAATGTAGAAAATATATTATTTTTTATTTATTTAACAACTTAAAGACAGTTACATTGAGACAATAACATTAGATAGATAGATGAGTACAATGAAACTTGGCTTAATTTAATAATTTTAAATAATTACTTATAGGTCAAAAAAATAAACTATTTTGCAAGAAAATAAAGCCAATTATGATATTTATACCGAATTGACAGTGTTTAGAAACTGATAGGACCTACCTTCTTATTTTTCACTGAGCTCACCAAAGACTTAAACATTTTCAGGTGTGGCCTACAATATTAAACACCCTGGTCCAATCGCCCTTGGAGGCCAATTTGCCATTGGAGGAAAAAGTGCGGAACCTGGAGAATTCCCTCACATGGTAAGAAAAGAAGCATAAGTGTACGTTACGTAACGTAACTTTATCTTATTCAAAGGCTGTTCTGGCATTTGACAAATTCTGATACTTATTTTATCCTACCAGGGCGCCATAGGCTGGAAGGCGGCTGTAGGCACGTGGATCTTCAAATGCGGAGGCTCGCTCATCAGCGACAAATTCGTGCTGACTGCTGCACATTGCACGAAAGCATCCGAGCGAGACACGAGTGTAGCCGATGTAGTGCCCAAGATCGTCAGATTGGGATCTAATAATATTGCTGATAGTGTAAGTTATCTTTCGATTCGATTACGCAGGGAAACTCCGAGCACAGCACGCTCCATCGTCCTTTGGGTGACCTAGAGGCTTCTTATGGGGCCAATTTGAAGTAAACGACTACGTCTCAGATCCGTATGTCATCACTGGCAATACACACCGGTCAAAGTTTTTGTTTTGAGTGTAGATTTATCTTGGTTACTTTATAAGTAAACCTTCTAAATAAATGTATTACTTTTCAGTATGCCAACGACTCGGTACCAGTCACGGCGATCATCAAGCGTATAATAGAGCATCCGAACTACAAAGCCCCAAAGAAGTATTTCGACATAGCTCTGATGGAGTTGCAGAATCAAGTGCAATTTGACAACTACGTACAACCTGCTTGCCTTTGGAGTGGTGAGAGCAGTCCTTTGATTGGGAGGAAGGCGACATTGACCGGATGGGGTGTTGTTGAAACAGGTATGTAAGATACGGGGGCGCCACCGCCAGCATTGCACAGGTCACTACCACCCTCGGACGGGAACAGTTGTGTGCTCCCAGGTGCTCCTGTCGCCCCCCGTCCTGGGGGGCTTGTAGGGCCCGCCGTGTATTCAGGCAATCGCCGGGAGGGGCTGTGGTAGAGAAGGCTTTGTCCAGAAACCCACATTTTCCTCCCACTTATGGCGAGTGACGGAGCACCGGGGTCTTTTTAGTGGGTATGCTTCCGTCTTTCTTACTTGGTGAGCCCCACATTACTTATCCTGTCCCCGCAGGGTAGGTATGCGATTCAACGCATTTTTCCCCGTAAAAAAGGTATGTAAGATACAGGCATTGTAAGATACAGGTATGAAAGATAGAGATCAAACTGGGTAGATTCAGAATTAGGCTAAGTTCCGAATTAGGTTATGCTTAGGCTAAAATTATTTACTTGTAGAGTCGGTGCCAATTTACTGTGACAATCTTGCAAGCAAGTTAAGTTACCTTAAAAATTGGAAACCGCGGGAAAAATCTAGTCAATAAAACAATAGATCGTACGATAAATTACTAATAGGTTATTAACAGTATGTTTCTATTCTTAGTTGCCAATAAGGACAAAAACGAAGATGCGTTAAGTTTAGACAGATACATGTTGTATCTACCTAGTACTCACTGAATTCATTTTCCTTGTTAATCTGTACAAAACAATAAAAATTATTTTTAGATTTTTAAAATTTGTCTGGTTATTTTTCCTTGTCATACTTGTAAGTCTGGTTTTTGCAATAAGTAGCCATATTTATTGGGGTCATTATCACTAAAATTGTATTTTCCTTGTATAGTTGACTTGACAGTACATCAGACTGTACATTTTTGTTGCAATATCGACCTTACTACAATTGAATAAGATACAAGTATTTGTGTCTCGTCCGGCTCGCTTGCCCTGTTGAGGAAAGATAGTTCAAAACTAGTAAGGTAATTTAAATAAGTGAATGACCTTTTAGGCTGGGTTGCACCATCTTACTTTAACTTTAACAAATGTCAAAAATCTGTCAAACTCCTTACAAGAAACACTGGTTATCGTTATTGCTACGGTTAAAGTAAGATGGTGCAACCCATCCTTAGTATGTAAACATTCCTGGTATTCTGACAAACAACTTAAGCAGACGTGAAACATGGTGTTTAAAATGACATTTCCATACTAAATGCCAATTTGAACGAGTGTTCAACGATCATTTAACTTTTTATGCCACAGAGTTTTTTAAACTAGAAGTTGGAACTGATCTGTGTAAGAAGGTAGATAAGAAACGTATGTTCTATAATTAATACTTATTATTTTAACTGACAATTGAAATATCTTCTTAGCAGATTAAAGGCTAGAGTATGTTTCGGATTTAAGGGCTTTTAGAGCTGTAATAATAACGTTTAAACACAAGATGATTATACAATCGTGACTTCGTGTAAGTCCTTGAAATTATACGAGTATTATTATTGGAAGAGGTAGGTACAGTTATTAAAATAAACACTGTGTCATCTTCATATTCTTAGTTGCATCTTATGATTATGTAATAAATAATAAATCAAAGCAACCAAGGGAGTGTTTTTTTACGAGATCGAATCAGAAATGAGGAGATCCGTAAACGAACTAAAGTCGCTGACATAGTCCGACAATTAGATTAGCAAGCTGAAGTGGCAATGGGCAGGGCACATAGAACGCAGAACTGACGGCCGATGGAGCAGCAAGGTTTTGGAGTGGAGGCTGCGCTCCGGAAAACGCAGCGTGGAACGTCCACCCAAAAGGTGGACCGACGACATCATAAAGGTAGCAGGAAAGCGCTGGACGCAGGCCGCTACCAACTGGGCAGCATGGAAAGCATTGGGGGAGGCCTATGTTCAGCAGTGGACGTCCTATGGCTGAGATGATGATGATGATGATGAAATTGGAGAGGATCGTGTTCCTGCAGAAAAGACTAACACCTGATGATTATAATGTGCCTAAAATGTCTAATTATTTTCCAGTCAGCAGAACAACGGCTCCAGACCTTCAAGCGGCGGTGGTGGATGTCTTCGAATCGGAGCTGTGTGATAAACTGCTGAAGCCTTCCTGCAACCGGCACTGGTGCGGGATGCAGGATCACCAGCTCTGCGCCGGGAAACTGGCGGGCGGTGTTGATGCTTGTCAGGTATGTATTTTTAATTATGGCTTTTACATAGGGTGTCCCATTATTTGCATATTATGCATAGCTGGGCACCGTTAATCAAATAGTTAACTTCGTTAATCGTTAAACCGTTAATAAAAAAATTAACTTCGTTATACGTTAAAACGTTACATTTCGCAAGATTTAACGCAAGTTAACGTTAATCGTTAATCCGTTAACACATGATAATAAAACGAAAAAATAATTGTATGCAAGGAACCCTTATAGTTTCGATATGTCTCTTTTGCTTGGAAACCATTGGCTCTAGAGAGCTGCAATTTTGTGGAGATATGTATGTTAATCACGCCGACAAAACGATAAAATAAAATTTGGAAAAAAAATTTTTTAGGGTAGTTCCCCTACATGTAAAGTGGGGATGATTTTTTTTTTCATCTTCTTCCCCATCGTGTGGGGTATCGTTGAATAGGTCTTTTAAAATGGCTTAGGGGTTTCTAAAACCATTTTTCGATTTAGTTCGAAAATGTTAAAGTTTAAAGTGAACATTTTTGTTCGAGTTAAAACTAAAAACTAAACTGTTGGTTTGAAAAATCTGAAAAAAAAAAATCATGATAATAGGGCTCTTTATGAACTTTCAAGGAAAACTATAGCGGTTAAGATAGATCAATTAGTTTAAGAGTAATTAGTCGTTTTACTCATGTATTATAAAATTTCATACCTAAAAAAAAATCCTAAGAAGAAAATTAAAAGTGACTTTAGATGAAGTAATTGCTTGCTCCTGAAATAACCCTACACTGTGCGTGGAACGACACGCACTTGGCCAATTTTTTTTTAGTTTTAGTACAACTGCATTTCAGAATAAAAGCTTGTTTTTAAAAAAGTTTTTTAATTATTATAAGTTTATTTTACACCTTTTAGTAGTATCTCAATCTCAGAGCCTTGGTTCCATTAGAAAGAAAGAAGAAAGAAAGAAATAGATTTTATTAACACAGTAAGCACAAATATATACAATAATAACACGAAACGATTAAAGTTAAATAGTGGGCCACTGTGTCAATAGGGTTACCTACATCATCGAATTACAAATGATCGAAAATCAGAATATCGAACACGTTTCATCGAACGATCAGAATATCGAACGATCAAAATATCGAATGATCAAAATATCGAATGCTCAGAATATCGAATTTACAAATGATCGAACGATCAAAATATCAAATGATTAAAATATAAATATTGGTTGAGGAAAACTGGTCTAAATTCAGTTGCAAGAGTGTCCCACACACACATACTTACTAACATTTGTGTCGTCAGTGATCGGGTGGAAGCCCGAACGTACTTGTCAGAACGCGTTTTTCTATCGTTTTTCAGCGTGCCTGCTGTATCTTTTTGGTAAATAGTAGGTACTGGATTAACGATTAACGGACTTAGAATAATTTAACGGAAGTTAACGAGTCCGTTAACATTTTTTAAAGTTTACTTAAAAGTTAATCCGTTAATAGAAATGTTAACTTCGTTAATTAACGATTAACGGATTAACGAGTTAGCTGGGCAGCTATGATATTATGGTGCGTCCATACTGGGTGCACGCACTCGCGTGGCACGCTGGTCATCCTGCTTACCCTGCTCTTGAGTAAGCCCAGTGTTCACGCACCATTACGTCATTCAGAGGTAGATGGGCCTACTACTAGGTGGACCAAAGATCTGGTGAAGGTCGCGGGAGGTGCCTGGATGCGGGAGACGGTCGTTGTGGAAATCCTTGAGGAAGGCCTTTGTCCAGCAGTGGACGTCATTTGGCTGGAATGATCGAACGAACGAGATGGGCCTAAGATGCATCTAACAAGCTAATAAGTCTGTAATTTTTTTTTCTATTTACAACGAGAAAGCTCTTGGCCTGTATCTCACCTGATGGTAAGTGACGATCAAGCCGAAGGTGGAAGCGAGCTTCACCCGGAATCCTCAACCACGGAGGAACTGGCTATCTTCTTACCTCTAACTGCCGGAACACAACAATGCTGTTAACATTGTTGTTATGGCGACAAACTTAGGTAAGATGGTGGTAGCTAGCCAAGCGGACTTAGAACAAGCCCTACCACCAACCAAACCGAACAGAAAAATCTGCCCCCTCTGGGAATTGAACCCGGGACCTATTCGTCTAAAGCAGGTGCTCTTACCACTAGACCACAGAGGCGGTTGAATTTAATGACTTGCCTAGTCTTTCAACTTCCTGTGAAATTAGAATTAAAATGGTCCTAGGAAAGGTCGACAATATGCAGTGATGTTGAGTGCAACCAGACAGTGGTCTTGTTTTATTTCTGTTCACGAACACACAAAACAGGGTAGCAACTTTTGGTAGGTATTCCAATAAGGTTCGATTTGCATCACTACTTAGATACACAATCCACATTATATTCGTTAAAATCGCTAAACTATTTCTGATTCACAATGGACATAACACGTGACTTCACAAGCTAAAATGTGTATTTTAAAAATACCTGTTCCAAAACGAACGCGAATATTCATACAAATAAACTTCAGCGGTATTAGATGACGCGTACTTACTCGCGTTTACGTGAATGGAATGTATCGGCCTCCGTAACGCGTGCGTTACGTGGTAAGGGTTAGAAATGGGAGCCACGTACGAATATGAACATAGGTAAATTCTAAAAAACTTCATATTAACACACGAAGTTACAGTGTGCTTTTTTAATACAGTTTTATAATAAAAGAAAGACAAAATATATTATGTGCGATGTGGAAGTCATTGGGGGAGGCCTATGTTCAGCAGTGGACGTCCTGTGGCTGAAATGATGATGATGATGATGAAAATATATTATGATCAACACACTTTTTAGGAATGAAAAAAGCAGAATAATGGTAACTACAAACTAAAGTAACTAACTATGAAAGCCACTTTAAAAATACAAATTTCCGATAAAGCATTGTCTTGTCAAGATCACAATGATCTTACTTGTAACTTTACAACAAACACGGGTTTGATTCAGAATAACCTAGACACTGCTCTTGAGGCTCGACCGACGATCTGGTGAAGGTCGCGGGAGGTGCCTGGATGTGGGCGGCGCAGGATCGGTCATATTGGAAATCTTTGGAGGAGGCCTTTGTCTAGTGGACGCCATTTGGCTGAAACGAACGAACGAATGAACTACTTTTGAAGACACTCCATACAACATTTGTCATACAAACCATTTCATACCTATTTTCTTTCCAGGGTGACTCAGGAGGGCCTCTTCAGATAAAGATCCCACTCCCCCCCACCACCACTGGGCGGATGTATTACATCGTGGGCGTGACGTCATTCGGCATCGGCTGCGCGCTGCCCAATCTACCAGGCATCTACACCCGCGTGTCCAGCTTCATCGACTGGGTCGAAGATATTGTTTGGAAATAAATTATTTATTTTAAGGTGCATTGTACCTATTTTGGATTTTACTGTACGTTATTTGTATCAAATATTCAGAGTTTTAATAAGAGAAAATACACGAAAGAAATGGGAACATTTACTTTAGACATTTGTTTGAATTTATCGAATCGAGTCTCTTATTAGTCTTCGTGATTTCAGCAATTATTATTGGAAGACCACTTCTGGAATCTCCTTCAAGAAACACCATAAAGCATAAGTGTGTTAAGAGTAAGGTCTCTTCGTAAGGTCGTCTGTCCATCGAACGCTGCTTGCGTTCAGCTCAATTGAAAGTGGTCTCTGCGGAGGCCTATGTTCAGCAGTAGACGTTCTGTGGCTGAAATGATGATGACTGATGATGATGAAAGTAGGTAGTCTCTGACGATAGGCATTTCGATCTTTATTATATCCTAGGCCGCTACCAATCGATCAACATGGAACGCATTGGAGGAGGCCTAGTTCAGCAGTGGACGGCCTATGACTGAAATGATGATAATGATGAAGCAATCGCAAAGAGCAGTTCGAACTGAAACTATTTTTTTTATCCACAACGAGGAAGCTCTTGGCCTGTATCTCACCTGATGGTAAGTGACGATCAGGCTGAAGGTGGAAGCGAGCTTCACCCGGAATCCTCAACCACGGAGGAACTGGCTAATTCAAAATCATCAAGAAGCATTCATCTTGGATTAATAGGCTCATATCCATTCCTTTTTCTATAACCCCCCATCACTCGTGAGCTTCCCGTGACAGTGAATCTCGTATGTAGATGCGCACAAGATAGCATTTGAAAAACCTTCACTACCCTCCACTAAAATCCCGCATTATGTGCCGCCGCTCAGTACAAATAGCACGGCTTACGGGAATCTATTGCAGATCTCAGTCGACGTTTGTCACTACAGAACGTCACCATAAGTTAACTTTAAACTGTTTACAGCAGCTGTTTTATCTTGCTAGAAATCTGTTGCCGTAGAGAGCTTACAGACGAGCGACATTATTGTTAAGTCGGCGAAAGTCGCTGATAATCTTCGTTTTATTCGTTTAGCTCTTGACAGAGCGGTCATGATCACCCTGGGCCTTTTTTACGTCAGTTGAAGAGTTGGATACAGCAGCTCTTCGCGCGATCTCCGGCCATCGCTCTCTGTTGGCAGACTGTCTGGTGACATACGCGGTTTTTCACTGCCAATTTTATTTGGTCAGTCCAGCGCAAAGGTGACCTGATCGAATCGCTGATGTTCAAATTAGACGAACAGCGCCGATGGTCGCCGACAGTTTCCTATGCATCGCAATTTTCGAAGACGGGCGGTTACTAACGTATAGCGTATAGTCAGAGCGTCCACGCAACATGACAGCGAAAGGTCGAGTCAGAGACTGTCGCCGACAGTCGCTACTATTGTAAGCAGTCGCCGACATAAAGTCGCTCGTCCGTGAGCTCCCTTAACTTTCGTGACGTTTCCCGCTCTGTCTTGTTGGAGCTGCTTTGTATCAGCGATATTATTTATTCGGTACTGCAACTTCGGTTGGTAAATCAAAGCTTTGAAATAGAACGGGATTTTGTCTTGATTGAACTCGTGATTGGATTGTCTGTAAAAAATAGGGGTCTTATTGAAAGCGGTTTCAATTCGAAGTATGAGAAAATACTATAAGATGAAAAATAATACAGTTGAAGTGAGTTATAGTAAACCGCGATTCGTTGGCGGCTACTAAAATTTATTTCATTATTTCTATTTATTTACTTGAGCTGCTATAATTAAAACAATAAGTTTTCTACAAAGTAAATAAAACACCAATGTCATTTATTTACCTACTTCGGCATCAACATCATCTGTGTAAGTCGAACTAACTTGCAATTGAATTGGAATCTCTTAAAATTGTAACCGAAGCTCTTTTCCGGAGCTAAAAAACGACGCAATCTCCCGATGCGAAGGAGAGTGGCACAGTGCAGTTGAAGAAAGTAGTTCTTCATAGCTCCAAGGGCAAATAATCTAAGTACATAACATTCTTATGTTATTATCTTTCCCCTTTTGCATGACTTCGAAACTCTCCAAATACCTATTTCGTTTGTTTATATTTTACCACCATTCTACAATATCTTATCAATTCGCAATTTTTTATCAAATTTTAAAATTTAGTGAAGCAAAGAAAAGATAAATTTTATTTTATCATCATACTGATGAATGATGCATGACTGCGTTCGGAAGGGGTGACACAGGGCATAGAAGTCCTATACCTCATACACTGACTGAGTGAAGAACTAGGTTTCCTTATAGTGATCATCAATACAAGCTTATATTCGGGGTAAACCGACAGTCATTGGACGCTGCCAGTCATTGGACAAAACAACCCTTGAATTTTCTTAAAATAAATATTCATTCAAAAAAAACGCCCTTTTATCTCCATCAGTCGGAATCTCTCTGTTGTTGAAATAAAAACTTTCTTAAGTGTCCAATGACTGGCAGTTTACCCCATTCATCTTAAAAAGCTAGTTGAAAATTTTCATTTATCGTTACCTTTTCATGATAGAGGGTATGACTGGCAGTTTACCCTATTCATCTCAAAAAGCTAGTTGAAAAATTTTCATTTATCGTCACATTTTCATGATAGAGGGTGTTACTAAGATACAGTAGCTGTTTGATTACAGCCTACTACATTGATTTAGACTGTGGCTCCGGGAATCTGGATCCATTTAGGCAGTCCTCTAAGCTCGGGCTTTAGCCTAATCGGGCCGAGTGCAGTGCCCTGCCATGTGATGGAGATGTGAGAGAAAACCTCTCACCTAAGGTTCCAGATTACCTACTGATGTTAATCATTTAGTTGTGTTCCAAATAAACAATTTTGATTATAATTTAATGTTTTGGAGATGAATCTTAAATATAGATGCCAGAGAAAATTATACCTAAATTAAAAAATTACATGCAGTAAGTTAGTATTGGCAAAACTTTACCTCCCTTTAACACGGGTCGCTCGCGTCTTTTTTTTACGAGTTCACCCCCCCCCCCTTATGTTTTGTGATAAAATGTACATTATTGAAAAAAAATCCCGTTTACCGAATAAGGAATATTATAAAAAGATGCATAAATTAATAATACAGGGTGTTAGGTAAATGGGTATATGAGCCGACACTAGCCCATGTTAACATATGCATATAAATGGTATGGTGAAGTCAGAAATTTGATATCATCATTTAAATTTTTAAGTGTTCATACAAAATAAAATTTATAAAATCAGATTTGCATATGCATATGTTAACATGGGTTAGTGTCGGCTCATATACCCATTTACCGAACACCCTGTATATTATATCCAAAACAATATCGTCTCAAAGCCCACCTCGACACAATACCTATGTAAAGGCCCCGCTCAATTATGTACGACACTTGTTGCTGAGCGGACAGTTCCCTGCAACTTGCTCTGAGTTTGTGCTCTGAGCGTCCATAATGCAGCCGGGTAGCTCTTTGAGACTATGCGCTCCTGGTACTCGGGTGCTAATCAATTATTTTTCAGATCGCTCTTGACTTAAAATGGCGGAAGCTAAAAAAGCTAGACTAAGGTTATTTACATTGTAATGTAAAAAAAAAAGCGAGTAGTACCTGTATTTTATCTAATATTCGTTTTTATTAAACACGTAGGTACCTATACTTATTTTAAACAACTTTTCCTAGTTTGTCTGTCATCATAGCTATATTGTGTTCTTTCTTTTCTTTTCTCGTCTTGTATGGAGTGATTATTTTTTGACGATTTTAAAAAGCAAATGTTATTTTTGGGAAGGAAACGAAAAATAAAAAAAATCGCTGCCAAAACTTGGCAAGCACATTTTAATGCAACAATCAACTCGTACGAGAAAATACATCGCCAAATGTGATTTACATTCGCAATTACCGAATTAAAACCATATCGGAATCCAATGACCAATTACAAATAACAGAGTAGTGAAGATGGCTCGTTAATGCGGGATTTTATGCCGGGGTGCGGGATAGCCGCGGGATTAAATCCCGGGATTATTCCGGAGTGGACGGAGAAAAATTGTTACGTTTCAAGCAAATAGGGGTAGACCGATTTCGACGGGAGAACCAATTAGGTCGATTTAAGTGATATTTACTCGCACGTTTGTCTTTGGTTAGTGTTTTGTTTTTATTGGCCTTGGGGCAGTGGGGAACTAAAGTAGGTAAATTTGCTTTTAATGCTAAGATAGTGCTTGGCGATTTGATGGTTCCTGTTGATGGAAATAAAAATCGGATTAATTTGAATACTCCATTTTTCACGATTAACATTTTTAATACATGCTTGTCTTGTTTATTTGTCGGCAACGGTCCATATTTGTGAATTATAATGAGATGAGATTTGTTTACCATATTATAGCTCTACTGAGTCAATGATAAATATTTCTTACAATCTAAGAATTTTGATCTAAGTATTGATTACAATTTAAGTATTGGCTAAGGGTGAGTTGCACTTACTTACTTTTACTTTGACAAACGTCAAAAATCTGTCAAACTCCATACAAAAAGCTCCGGTTATCGTTATAGTTAGGGTCAAAGTTAGGTGGTGCAACTCAGCCTTAGTGTTGCCTTCTCTACGCTTCACTATCCCAGAACACTTACTAACACCATTAAAGCACACGAACACATTGGAGTTCGTATTGACTTCACGTTCCATACTCTCTAATAAATTATTCATGCATAAAATTCGCGTTGTTATGGAGTCTGAACTACATATTTACTTGCCTAATATAACCGGCTAAACCGAAACTGGTGTCACACTGTGGTGCGCGATAACTCCCAAACTATGGCAGCTTAAGCTACACACTACCTATGATCATTGACTAAGAAATTGGGAGGATATGGTACTTATACGCCCGTATTTACAAACATTACCAGGAGTCCTCACAGGACGCGTGGATGCACAGGGCGACACACGGACCAACGCTGTGCGTTTGATTTGCTGCTTCACTTACGCAAGCATCGTTTGTGAATACGGGTGATGATAGTGTTTCAGAAAGC